GACACTGTCCTCCCACACCTTAGCATCTCAGAAGCTCTCCAAACTCCTTCAGTAAGAGTTCTTTATGGAGGCTCCATGACTTAGGCAGGATTGATTAAATCACTGACCACCAGTGACTGAACTCAAATCCCAGCCATTCTCCCTTACCTCCAGAGCCGGGGGCGGGGGGTGGGGGGGGTCCTGGAAGTTCCAACCTTCTAATCATGGGTTTGGTTCTTTAGGCAACCAGCCCCCAGGCTTAGGTGCTTTCCAAAAAATCACCTTATTAACATAACTCAGGTGTAGCTGAAAGGGGCTTGCTATGAATAACAAAAGACATTCTTTTCACCTTTGTGCTATTTCAGGAACTGGGAACAAACACTGAATATAACAAAAGATGTTCCCGGTAGCTCTTATCACTTAGGAAATTACAAGGATTTTAGGAACTCCGTGCCAGGAGTCATGGATGAAGACCAAATGTACATTTCTAGTTATATCATAGTATCACGTATGTACCAACTGCACTTTGCAAAATCAGTATTTCCCACATCACCAATGGACATTTCTGGTACTACATTGTTATCAAAGCAACAATCCTTTTTTTTACAAAATTGTAAGGTATTGCATTGTAATTTTGTTGATACTTTGGATCCGTAACAAAACTTGTATTTAAATGCCAGTAGTAGTCTGTATGTCTGTATTGGGAAGGTCAAGGAAAAAAGTCTGTTTTATTTCACAAAGCAATCAATAACACTCATGCTCTGCCCAATTAAAACTGTATTCTTAAAACACTTTGTAAGTGAAGAAGCATAATTAAATGAACAAGTCTCTGGAGAAGAGCCCAGGTGCCAATGATTGTATTCCCAAGTGCTCAGGGGCACTGAGACCCCCTGATAGACTCTTGACTTAACACAGTGACTTCTGATGGGACGTAAGTGGGAAGGGCTCTCAAGTCTCCCTAGCCTTCCCAGTGTCTGGGTCAGACAGTAATCTAAACAAATGACTAAAAGGTTTCCTTACTTTATAAAATGAAACTAAAGATGTCTGGCTTAAAAAACACGTGAACATACTCCCATCTCTCCATTGGGAGTATGCTCATTCACCTTTTATCATTATATTCCAGTAAGTGATTGTTTCTATGTATTTCCTAATCTTCATGGGCTTCCTGCGGTCAGGTTTTGTGTGTGTGTTTTTTAATTTATTTATTTAACAGACAGAGATCACAAGTAGGCAGAGAAGCAGGCAGAGAGAGAGGAAGGGAAGCAGACTCCCTGCTGAGCAGAGAGCCCTATGCGGGCTCTATCCCCGGACCCTGGGATCATGATCTGAGCTGAAGGCAAAGGCTTCAACACACTGAGCCACCCAGGCGCCCCAAATAGTTTCTCTTCTCACTAGAAAATCAAGGGTAATTTTAAAGCTTTCAAGAAGATTGCCACTTCCCTAGAGAAATCCATGTTTTATGAAGGGCTAAAATCATTCCTGGGAAGGACACTCTTGATAACATTGCTTTGAAGGCAAGGACCTTGTTTCAGTATACTACTTGTTTCACTGTTTAAAATTCTTCTGGAAACCATTTTATAAAGTAAGGAAGCCACTACTCTTTCAGGTGATTAAGTGCTAATTCAACTGGCGTATGCCAAGTTAAATTGCATATTCCTATACTAAACATTTGTAAAGTACTCCACGGGATAACTCTGCAGAGAGAGCAGGAAGAAGATGCTTTTCCACCTTCGCTTTGCCTTTCCCTCTCCCGACTTCTTATCAGGGCAGTCATCTACCAAGGAGCAAAGCGAGTGCGGTGAGAGTAAATAAGGATCCCTGGGGCCTCATGGAAAGTCTGGCAGCAAATGTGCACTCATTCAAAAGGTAACTCGTGATTTGGGTCAGAGGTACTCAGAGCCAACTCCTGTAGCTGAGTAAGCACGGAGAGAGCAGTCTTGTAACTGCGGGAGGGGAGGGAGGGGCCGAAGGTGGGGTGGGCCCCCCGCAAGCAGGCCCATCGCAATATAATGAAGCTGGGACTTGGGGTAGAAGAAGTAGGTCAAAGGCAGCGGCTTCTAGCGAGGAGTATTGTGCAAAGAGGAATGGGGAAACAAATGAGAAAGATCAGAGCCAGATGTCCTGTGTCTCCCATGCTGAGGGACTGGGGTAGGGATTGGGGAGCTGGACAAACCAAATCTAGTACCATCTCTTCCAGAGTTCAAGGCCCATTCCAGTAGCATATCTTTGCCTTCCCTGACAGATTGCGTCTGCGTCTGCGTCTGCATGGACAAGGTCGTCAAGAGATCTACAGTTCAAATGTGTGCTGTGTAACACTTCCTCCCGGCATGCAGACACATGGGGGAGCAGTACAGGAGCTCCCAAGAATGTCTGGGAATGGTTGATGGGAAACATCAGTCTGCAGGGCCAGATGTCAAAGGTCATTAGGGGAAAGGAAAAAAAAAGTGAGATGCACAGTGAATATTAGGAGAGAAAAAAACTTGAATAATAAAAAAAGCATCATTTTACACACAAATATACAGACACATAAATAGGAAAAAAGAAAAAAGGGTGCAAAAATAAGCCACTTTGTTCCTAAGCGAAGTCAAATCATATTCTTAGAATAAGCCACTGGGTAAAAAATTAAGGAAATCTTCACATCAGTCTTTTATATTTACTTAATTTTTAAAATGACAATACACGGGGCACCTGGGTGGCTCAGTGGGTTAGGCCTCTGCCTTCAGCTCAAGTCATGATTTCAAGGTCCTGAGATCAAGCCCTGCATTGGGCTCTCTGCTCAGCAGGGAGCCTGCTTCCCCCTCTCTGCCAACTGCTCTGCCTACTTGTGATCTCTCTCTCTCTATTCAATAAATAAATAAAGTCTTAAAAAAATAAATAAAATGAAAATATACAATGGTGATAAGGTTGTAGTAAAACTGATAAACCCATAAATTCCTTGTGAGTTAATCACAACATTTTTTTTGTTTGTTTCGTTTTGTTTTTGAGTATCCACTTTGGCAATAAGAATCAAAAGCTTTCAAAACTGTCACAGTCTTTCACCCAACAATACTCCTGGACATTTAACCTTGGAGGATAAATCAAAAGAAAAACCATCTAGATAAAAATATTCACTGCAACATTATTTTTAATTGCTTTTTTTTTTTTTTAATGGGGGCTGGAGACAAACTAAATGTCTCAAAACAGAAAAATGATTCATTAGGACACAACAACCCAGCAGAATCCTCTGGAGCCTTTAGAGGTCCTAATTACGAAGCTCACACAGAAGCATGAAAACTGATGTAACTGGCAATCTTTGTTAAATATCTCTGGATGGGGGCACCTGGGTAGTTCAGTCATTAAATATCTGCCTTCAGCTCAGGTCATGATCCCAGGGTCCTGGGATTGAGCCCCGAGTCCAGCTCCCTGCTCAGTGGCGAAAGCCTGCTTCTCCCTCTCCCACTCCCCCTGCTTGTGTTCCCTCTCTCCCTGTGTCTCTCTGTCAAATAAATAAATAAAATCTTTAAAAAAAAAAAATCTCTCTGGATGGCTTCTACTATGCCTTCCTATGACAAAGGCTAGAGGAAATGGGGGTAAAACTGAAAGCTGATTCGTTAGGAACTGTAGAGAATTATGGGTGACACTACTTTCTCCTTAAAATTCTCTTCACTGGGCTCCGGGTGGCTCAGTTTGGTTAAGCTTCTGCCTTTGGCTCAGAGCATGATCCCAAGGTCCTCAATTGAGCCCCACATTGGGCTCCCCCTGCTCTGCAAGGAGCCTGCTTCTCTCTCCCTCTGTCTGCCACTTCCCCTGCTTGTGCTCTCTCTCACTCTCTGTCAAATAAATAAAACCTTTAAAAAATAAATAAAACTCTCTTCACCGGTTTCACACATTATGGGTTTGGTAGCACTCATGATAAAAGCAGAAACAGTACAAGGAAAGGAGGGAGGCTCTTAATAAGAACATTTTCTGCTATTAATCAAACCTTTCTTTCCCCTTCCTCTTTCTCCCTTTGGGGGCCTTCACAGTGGTCCCGGCTGTGGCCCAGAACCATCACCTTTCCGTCTCCCTGAAGGACCCTTCTTAGGACTGAAACTCAGAACCATCAAACCTGCCCCAGTCGGCCTTCTCCCACTCCCAGTGCATCACCGGGATCTCAGACCTCACGGCTTTCTGCTTTCCCCAGGCTGCCAGACCTGGCCTGCCCTCCGTGGATCCAAAAGAATTAAATGTAAATAAGAGAGCGGCAGCACCGCGGGCTGCCTGCTACCAAACGCTGAGATTTCCCACTACACACCAAGCTATAATTAACAGGAGGCGATGCCAGAAACAACAAAGGAGCTTCAAGGAAACAGCTAAAATACTCTCCAGTTTTTAACTACACACAACATTCTTTTCTACTCACCCACCCCACCCCGTTCTCCCTATTGTGCTCAGAAGCTCTTCTGAAACCACCAAATTACACAAAGACACTAATAGCTACCCCTTAGCGGCAGGAAGGAGGTGTGCAGAAGCTTCACAGAGACCGCATTCGGAGCCAGCGGAGGTCACTTTTGAGAAACAGAAAAGCTGTTCTTAGAACCAGAAGGAAATTAGATAATCTCAGCCCAGGTTACTTAATGAGTTTAAGGCTATGTGTGTGTGTGTGTGTGTGTGTGTGTGTGCGTGTGCGTGAGCGTGTGGAGGGTTCTCTAAACACGGTCTGTAAGAACTCCAGTGTGGACTGGTTGGAGGTGCCGTGGAAAAGACGAGTCCTGTGTGGTTTAGGTTGATCCCCATAACTCTCTGTCTTCAGAAAACGTCCCTCTCCAAAGAGTATTCCTAAGAATTGCCATAATATTATCCTCACAGACGACTCAACCCCTTAGGAAGGATTTTCTCAAGAACTAATCCTACCCCTTGCCCCCATCCTCCCGCTGACGGTCTACAAGTCCTTTGGGAACCACCATAGTCCTTGACACAGAGAGCTGGAGCTCCTGTTGAGTGTGGAGGCCAGCAAGGAAGCCAGGCACGGTGTGCTTTTGTCTCTCCCTGGTAGGACTTACCTTCATGAAAGGCAATGGGATCTCTTCCGTCACAAGGGTTATTCCAGGAATTTCCTATGGTGGGGAAAAACACACACACAGGACTGCTAAACGTATCAACCACCACAAGCTTAAGCCTTCAGGAAGTGTTTTCTGCACAGACAGAAGCTGAGGGCAGCTCCCAGTTTGCTAAACTCTACTTTAAATAAACCTTATGGTTTATAAATAGCAGTGAACCAACCCATCTCTTGCCTTGAGAAGGGAACTATTCTTTCAAGTCATGATTACAATAGAGGGCCAATCTCTGAAGGAAAGGAGAAGACTATTAGGAATACAGAGCAACTAGTATATTATTTACATATTTCCATTTAAGAACAAACGAGGCAAATTACACATGCATTATCAAACGTAATAATAAGGGGGACATTTTCCTTCTCTGTTTATTGCTCCTTCCTCCCACTTCTCTTTTGCTTAAATGTATTATATTATAGTTGGCCCCTGCCTCCCTAGAAGGAACCAAGATTAGTGGGGTTCTTTTTTGACTTTAATGGAAAATTTTCCTTCACCTCATCCTCTACCATAATTTCAGAAATAAAAGATCCCCATAAAGAGTTGATGCAGCGGTGGGACTCCTGGGTGGCTTAGTTGGTTAAGCAGCTGCCTTCAGCTCAGGTCATGATCCCAGCATCCTGGGATTGAGTCTCACATCAGGCTCCTTGCTCAGCAGGGAACCTGCTTCTCCCTCTGCCTCTGCCTGCCACTCTGTCTGCCTATGCCCTCTCTCTCTCTGACAAATAAATAAATAAAATCTTAAAAAAAAAAAAAAAGAGTTGATGCAGTGGTATCACCATGGCAAATATGAAAGGTGTAAAATCTGTATCAGGAAATCCAAATTATAACACTGTGAGCATTAAAACAAAAATTTCAATAGAAATATAAACTTCCAAAATGGCCCCTCATTCGTTCATTTTGGAAGTGTGTTTCTATATTAACTGTGTAGATAAGCCTCTCAACCTGTGAATTCATCCTTTATTTTCTAAAAAAAAAAAGGGTAGACGATATATGAGGAAATAACTTTGAAAGTGTTCTGTAGAAATAAAATCTCGTGTTTGTTTAGAACTCAAATGTACTAGATTTTTACTGACATACAATATTCCTGTGGAAAGGGGCACCACAGAAATGCAGAAATAAATTTCCAGAATATTCAAGCAACCGAGTTGTCCACTGTGACCACTGAAAGCCTGTGTTAAGAATGTATTTTGTGTTTCACTCACCACTACTTGGTAAGAGAAGATAATTCAAAAAAGCATTAAAATTTCACTATAGCTTTAGGTTATAGATGGCATCGTAAAATAAGAATAACAGGGCTAATTGTTTGCAAAGCATAATTCAGGGTTATTTATATGTAAGAGCACCATATGTTCTAGTATCTTAAAAAATCCAATTCAATTATTTACAGAAATAATCTGTCTCCATACAGAAGTATGATATTACTCTTTTTTTTATCCTAGCAAGGATTTATTAAAGGATAAAAATAAGAGGATTTGTAGATTAGGAAAAGAAAAGGCAAATGGTGGACATCATTGCTAAAGAGAAGCAGGGACTCAGAATTTCAGGATTAGAAGAGACCTTTAAAGGTAACCAACACCCTGAAGTTTAGAGCAACATGGTAAACCCCAAAGCAGCTCAGTAGATGGTGGTTAGGACTGTGGGTTTTTTAGATTATACTCTCACAGGACTTCCTGACCTCACTCTGCAGGTCTACAACAGCTCCTCGGCCCCATGGTCATGAGAAATGCAAAAGTAAGGAGCTGCCTCCCAAAAGAGCCCCTCGAATGCTATCCAGCTAACACATGCTCCATCTTTAAACACAACCCTGGGAACTACAGGGGTTCCCGGTCCCCTCCTCCCAGACACGGAAATGGAGGATGACAGGGCTGGGTGGTGAGGGAAGAAAACAGAGAGGTGCATTTCCTGACTCCCCGTGGTTTAACCTGCAGACTTCCTGCCCCATCACCATAGACGCTGTGTGTATGTTCACAAGAGTTCTCAAAGCAAACAGTGAGGGCTTGGAGAACGGACAGACGAGCTGTCTTTCCCTTGTTACTCGACAGCGAGGCAAGAACATTTAACAATCCTTAACAGTCAAAGACAGAACAGCCTTTAGGATAACTACCGCTGTGTATACCAAACATTTAGAAATTAATCACACATACCTGACTCTATTTAGATAGTCTAAATACAAAACGGGCAAGTGTCACGATTCATCCCAGTACTTATTTTCCTATGTTTGTGTTACCTAAATTCCATTTATTTTTCTAAATGCCTTTTTGATACTAACCTCTGCCTTGGGACTAAGCATGTTATTCTATGAAATAAAATATTCTATGAAGTATGAAAGAAGAAATCTTTTCCAGGGAAAGCCTGAAACCTTTTTCAGGGTTTTTGCTTTTTGATCCAACAAATCTCAGTTTACTGCACCATGTTCTAGAGAAAACAAAATTTTAGCTCAGCACTTCCTAATTGAAAAATTGGGAAGAAGGGCCAGGGGGAAGAAAAAGGTCGAAAGGAGTGAATTTGCTTAAGATCACTAAATTTTGCTGATTTTGAGGCTAAACGGTTATTACAAATTCTCTTTATGAGGCTGGGAAAAGGGTTAAATCTCCGTAGGAAACAAAACAGCTTACAATAACAGCAATGGCCCAATCATTCACATTTATAAAAACCTGAGAAATATTTTAGTCTACTCTAGTTGCTAAAAAAAAAAATGTAAAACACCATTTGAAGATGATAGAGGGTTCATTTTGCTTAGTAGTAGGAAGAGTAACACATATCCTGTACCTTCTCCTTTAATTCTCCTGTTTTATATCACTACCTTTGGCTAACAGCAAGGATTCACAATTATTCTTCTGCCAGGAGACTCCAACTCAGGTCCTTATCAGTCAAAAATAGACAAATGAAATCACAGCCATGGGTACTGTGACATGGATATCCCACAACTGACCCACAACTGACCCACAACTGGGTCAGTTTTAATTTTAATTTTAATCACACAAAGAATACAAACTGTTAACTTACTGTATCCCAAGCGAACACTGAGGAATATGGCAAAAGTTTATCCATGTTACTTGTCTCTGGATATATGCTCCAATATGAAGAAGCTGAGTAGATTTTTGAAAGAAGAAAAAAAAAAAGAAAAGAAAGAAAGACATGATTTAATAAGAAGAATAAGGCAGTAGACACTGTTAATTCACCAAAGCAAGCAAACTCCCAAAAAGTTTTTACTGCCTTATCCTTATCTTCAAAAGGCTAACAGTTAGCGTCTACCTTTATAAAACGTTCAGGTTCTGTTCTTTACTATGAGAATAATTTAAAAAAAATTATTTGGCACTTCTATCTGATGACATTATACTACTTCACACAGAAATGGCAGACACAAAACTGAACTAAGAAAGTTTTTACATCTTACTGGGAGGAAAAAATCACTAATAAGGTTAGAGAATCAAGATCATATCGTATCTTATCAGTCTCTGAACTGTCAGAGCTTCACACAAGACCACGGGAGAATGAAATTTAATTAGCTGCTGACTGAAACAGAGTTAAAAAAAAAAAAAAGTGCTTCTAACCAACATTTTGACAGATTGAGACATTATCAATTTGTTGCTTTCCCTCCAGCAAAAGGGTCAAGGATTCAACTTAATATGCACCATCAGCAAGACCTACCAATTATAAATTCCTGAATGAGGTCAAACGAATGGCAGGCAGAGACATTCTCAGAAATCCACTGAATAAGCTTTAAAAAATAAGAAGACAATTCTGTTGGTATGTACATCTGCACCCTGCCCCCACCATTGAAGAAGTACAAAATGTATGTGAATCTTTTTGAAACTCTGTATCTATTTTGGAACTGTCATAGAATACACTCACTTCCCTTCAAGGCGTGTAATGCAAGACTGTGGTTTAAGGAGTCTTATAAATCAGGTCTATTTTACATATATTTTTCAAATAAATATCCCTGGCTGAAATCCAAATAAGCCTTCTTCGACCCCATGTCTGCTTTTGCTAGAGTGGGTCATGTTACAGCAAAGTGCCAGTGTGAAGAGCTGGGTGATAGAGGAGAAAACAACCCAATCACACCTCAGAGCTCGAAGGCAGCAGACCTGGGTTTGAATCCAGCTCAGGCATCCGTGTGATCATCGGCACACCATTTAACCTTGGTGAGCATCACTGCGGTCCTCCCAAGCACAGGTTGTAATGACACCTCTCTCAGTGTCCACAACCATCCTCACCTGCTGGCGGACTGAAACTCCTTGTTCCCAGCCTTAGAACTGAAGTATACCATGAGGCTTGCCAAGCCACAGAGCACTCTCACATGTCTGCTCCTACCAATAAATAAGTGGTTGTTTTTTAAGCTTTGTGTATTTGTGAGAGAGAGAGAGAGAGTGTGTGTGTGTGTGTGTGTGTGTGTGTGTGAGAGAGAGAGAGAGAGAGAGAGCGCACTCCCACAAGCAGGGAGAGCAGCAGCAGAGGGAGACGCAGGCTCCTGCTGAGCAAGGAGCCCGATGTGGGACTTGATCCCAGAACCCTGGGATCGTGACCTGAGCCATAGGCAGATACTTAACCGACTGAGCCACCCAGGCATCCCAAGAAACAGTTGTTTTCATTTCTAAACCTATTCATGCTGGTTATACTTCTCTTCACAGTTAGGTAATTTTATAAAATATTACCATAGATGAATGAAATATGGACTCAAAAAGAGTGTTGTTTGGCCAATAAAAGTTGAACACTTTGGAAAGACTCAAAGGCATATCTAAAACACTCACTTAAAAAAAAAATCTAAGTGTGAGACAACTGTAAAAGATTAGGAAAAAAATGCCCAATAGATACAAATTGTTTTTGAAAAGATCTTTAAAATATGGCTCTCCTTGGGTTAAAGAAAAGAAGACAGTAAGGTTAAGGAACAAAAGGAAGAAGAAAAGTCAGAGACAGCACATTACTAGTGGTTTTATGTAAGAAAAATGATTTTGAACTCCAACCAGCTAAAATACAAAGAAAGGGTATTAAACGACATCGAAAGATAGGTGAATAAATGCACCTTTTGTTTGTTGTTTTAGGTTAAAATAAGATAAAGTATCTTTTCTTCAATTACCCAACCACCCATTGGTCCCAATGAAGTCTAACAGAGGGCTATCTCCAACTGCGCAGGACAACTATAAAATTAAATGACAAAATGTGTGAAAGTGCTTCATAAATTCAATTGTGAAATATAAATAATCTTTATTAAAATGTAATAAATATATGGCACCAGATTTTATTTCTTGTAATGCTATACACCAAATAGAGACCAGGAGAAAAAGTAGGTATTTGAGGAGCTATTTCCTATTTACGGAGCACTTTCTTGGAATGTTACTGATATAGCTAACGTGTAGGCACAGTATTGAAAAGAGAGAAGTCAACAGACATGTTCACAGTCTGAGGTCTGGTCGGGGTCCATAAAAAGAAGCATGAGAAGAGAATATGTTCAAATCAGAATGGAGACCATAAATGTCAACTAATTATTACCAAATGAAAATGACATCTGTTCATTTCAACCACAAACCTAGATGGCTGGCATTGTCTATTTGCCAATCTTTTTAACTTGAAGCTACATAACCACCTTGGCTTCCAGGAACTGGGGGTCTCGGCCACAGGAGAGGACACAGTGCAACACGGCCATCTTCTCACAGTCTAGCTGAGTGTTCCATAGGAACTGTAATAAATAGGACTGGTTGAGGACTGCCCTATAGAGCTTTCCAGAACACCAATCCAGTACCAGGGACCCTGATAGTGACTGTAAAGGGCTATGAGGTAGCATATCAACCACTTCATTGTTTCCTGGCCAGAAAAAAAAAAAAGAAAAGAAAAGAAAAAAGAGATCAGCAAATAAAAGAAACCCCTCTCACCGAAACATAAACATTGTCAAGACAAACCCAAATAGACCACATTCATGAGGGGAAAACCACAGCCATACCTGTCAGAAATAAACTGTGGCAGATCAGGTCCGGATGTTGAATGTTAAGTAAATGAAAGAAATGACCAGGTAAGTAAACAGCCACATAATATTCTGTAGAAGAGAAAGATAAAAATTATCTGTATGTGGCAAGAGTTGCACAGGCAAAGATAAAGCCCAGAACTTGACAGTATCCCTATTTGTCTTTGAACCTCTTAAAACACAAAAGTTTTGATCAGTGTAAACTGTTTGATGTCAGCACATTTCATCTTCCTGCCAGATCTCACTTGTTCCTATCTGTGGCTAGTTGTCTTCATACACTTGGCAATGGTTTTCTTAACTGATATCTGTAATTTTGAGTCTAAGTGAATTGTGGCTTTATTTGAACCTAAATGACCTCTAAAAGCAAATTAGAAAAAAAATACCAAGCAATATAAATTCTTCCTTTATCTGATAGTCTGGGAATAGCTTATGATGGGAATTTCCCTCCTCATTTCTGCCAGCTGGGAGACCCTCTAAAATTTTGTTTCCTATGTTTGCCCACTCATTGTCATCATCACTATCATCGTCATTTTGTTTAGAGAACCCTTAATTTGATATTCATCAAAACAATCTCTGCAGGCATTCTAACACTTGGTGAAGTACTGATAAGAATTCACACCTTCACAGTCCCTGCGTTCGATAATTTTGTACGAAGAACACTCGTACACAGATTGAGACAAGGTGTAAAAATAGGTTTCTGGAGAATGGGAAGGTAGAAGTAGCCCTTGCCAATAATTTTTCACCCGAGAGCAGTGAATGTCCTACAGATGACATATTTAGATTGTAAGCAACGCAGCTGGATTCTTTTTTCCTAAGAAGCAAAGAAATACATGTTAATTATTTGCATAGAAGGCATTCAGGGGAAAGGAAAGGAAAGAGGATGTAAAACTCGAAGCCACTGACTTAAGTAAGAGTCCTCTTGGTGCCTGGGGATCAAGCGATGTTAACGAGAGCAGCACAAATGGTTGCAATAATATTCTTGTTATGGCAACACTTAAGTAGAAACACACAAATAATGATATAGTAGAGTACAGTAGGAAAGGGTTAGGCATCAAATGACCTAAATTAATTCCTAGGCTAGCATTTAACCAGTTAACTAGGGTGGTAACTACGTAACTCCTCCCTGCGAGAGGAGGCATTTGGAAGGCAATGAGGGTTGTTTGGAATTGTTACAATCACTGCAGTGGAAGGGGGAGTCCTCCTGCCGTTTGGCGAAAGTCCTTAAATCCCTCAATGTGCAGGACACTCTCACACAAGAAGAACTGTCTCAACGAAAATGCCAACAGGGCCCATAGTAGGTCAAATGACGACCCCCTAAGATGTTCATATGCTAATCCCAGAGCCTGTGACTGTATCACCTGAAGTGACGGAAGGCACCTTGCAGATGAGATCAAGGATCCTGGAGATGTGGAGGGTATCCTGGAGTATCCAAGTGGACCCAAGGTAACCATAAATATGTTTACAGGAGAGAGGCAGAAGGAGACTGGACTACAGAGGAGAAGATCACTCGAGGATGAAAGAGATGGAGTGATGGGGTCGCAAGCCAAGAAATGCCAGCCTCGAGATGCTGGGGTTGTCCAAGGATTAATTCCTCCCCAGAATCTCCAGAAGGAACCATTTCTACCCACACCTTGACTTTAGCCCCTCAAAACTCATTTCAGAATTCTGACCTCCAGAACCAAAAGACAACATTCATGTTGTTTTAAGCCCTAAATTTGTGATAATTTGTCATAGCAGCAATAAGAAAATAACACAGTGTCCCTGATAAGATACACTAAAAGGAGACTGGGCACAGACCTCAGCCTTCCTGAGCTCAGTTTCATTATCTGGAAAATGAGGATAACATCACCTAGCAGAATTGTTGTAAGGATCAAGATAATGGAGATAACATGCTTAGCATATAATACTCATTTTTAAAATGGTAGCTTTTTATTTACAAATATATCCTTCTTATATAGAGGTGTCTGGGTTCATGGAAAACTTTATTCTTTAATATCAACATTAAAACTCTATTCTTTAATATTTTAATTAAAATATTCAAAATAAGTCCCCTTTAATAGGGTGATAATTCAGAACAGTTGTATGTAATTAATAGGAAAAAAGGCATCACTCAAAAGCAATACTGTTGTCATAAAAATTACCTCTGGAGTAGTTTTAAGCTTGGGTATAATTCTGTGCCAAGAAGACTAAATGTGTATAAGAAGGAAAGACAACTTATGTAAGAGCCTATTTTTACAAACCTCTAGGATTTCTGCCGGCTCCACAGTCTGAAGACCATAGATTAAATCATGCCTGCCCTTTTCTAGAGTCATTGTCAGGAGGAAAAAAAAGAAGGCTACCTTTGACCTGACAAAATGCTAAGTTTTTTTTTAGTGAAAAGTTTCCTACATCACTCTTGAAATGGGATGTTGATGCAGCATTCTCTGATAAGAATCAAGTCTCAGACCCAGGAAACCTTATATTTATCTCTCTAACCACAGGAAGCAGTAGACTCAGGCCTCTCTAAGGCAATTTCCCACAGGTTCAAAGCTCAGGTTAACATTTACCACGTACTGGCCCACTCCACATTCACTATCTCACCTCATCTACAGTATTGTTCAAAAGAAAAATCTTTTTTTATCAACTTTGTCATTTTTTTTAAAGATTTTATTTATTTATTTGACAGACAGAGATCACAAGTAGGCAGAGGCAGGCAGAGAGAGAGAGAAGGGGAAGCAGGCTCCCCGCTGAGCAGAGAGCCCAATGCGGGGCTCGATCCCAGGACCCTGGGATCATGACCTGAGCCGAAGGCAGAGGCTTTAACCCACTGAGCCACCCTGGCGCCCCATCAACTTTGTCATTTTTGTTCTCATTTGCCCAGCTCCCTCACATTATACCTTCTTAAGCTTTTGTCATGATAGCAGGCAGACTGGGGAACAGGAATAGGAGAACATATTAAAGAATCATGTGCTGTAAACCTGAAGCTTTTCTTATCTGAATATTGTGCTGCGTCCCATAGGTAGGCAAGTAATAGTTCTGTTAGTCTTCTGCTAACCTGTTGTGCCTCTCATCCCAACTGACATGGAAAAGCAGCTTTCGGTAGGTTGGTACAATAAACCCTTTCTTGATTTTCTTCATTATAGACTCCATTAATATGTTCAAACCTAACACTCAAGTTCCCTTACCATATTTACTCAATGAAAATCAACACATTTAAGCTGATTTGTAAGTCCTTTATAGGACTTGGAAGCTCTTAGCAATTAACAACAGGGAATGGAGAATTTCTCAAAGATCTCTGTCCTCTCTAGAATCAAGGGACAACATGATGTATTTTTTCTCATAGGCTTTTAGGGAACATCCCATTCACTGTCATTATTTTTTTTAAGATTTATTTATTTATTTGAGAGACAGAGAGTGAGCAAGCATGAGCCAGGGGGTAGTGGTGGGGGGAGAAGGACACGGGGCTCCATCCCAGGTCGCTGAGATCATGACCTGAGCCAAAGGTAGACTCCTAACTGACTGAGCCACCAAGGTAGCCATCATCATTTTTATACTAACAAATGGCTTTTTTGGAATACTACTAAAACACATAGGAAAGCTCACAGCCTAGATTCTTTAAAGAGGGAGATGCACCCCCTCCCCAAAGGCTGATCTGAATCGGGGACACAAATATGTCCATTAGGATTGGCCTAGAAAAAGATAGAGGTCAGGAAAAAATATGAGAATATTAACTAACTTAATCCAGTTGACCCTTGAACAACAGAGAAGTTAGGGGTGCCAAGGTTTCCAGAGAAACCCTTCCCCTCCTAGGCCTCTAAAAGGTCAGTGGCTGTCATTCTAATCCAAGTCCTAAAGGGGCAGGAAAAAATGGAGTGCACAGATAAGAAAATGAAATATAAAAGGTTGAGTATCACATATACTAGAAATGAGGGTCAGAGCAGAGATGCATCTCTCTCTCACTCACCAAGGTTGAGAAAAGTAAGGCCCTTAGTCACATGTGAGTCTACACTCCCTAGAGCAGCACTGAAGGTCTTGCTGTGCCCTGTGGAGAGAGAACAGGAAGCCAAGGAAAGAATGATAAGAAACAAAGAACCAGAATTCCACCCAAGGCTATTACTCTATGTAATACTCAACATTTAGGAGCTGTGAAACTGACAAAGCAAGGGTCTCTGACTTCTAGGTTTCATGGTTCTCCAACACTCTCCAAAGACCACACAGAAGGTAGATCACAGTGCAATCAGGATCCAGTAGTCGTTCTGGGCTTATCGCATAATATCAGACCTTATAAGGTGGGTTGTGCTGGGACAGAAGGATCTGAAGGAATCTATCACAGGATTCAAAAGGTGGAGGAGACCAGGTGGCTCACTGTCCCCCACAGTTTACTGCACATTCTTCCCATCATCAAGACCCCCTGAGACTTCTCTCAGTCACTTAGTAGACTATCAGCTAATCTCAGGGTATTGGGCTTCACACTCCACTGTTCTAATTCTTCGTCAGAATCAGTAACCCTTAATAAAACTTTCAGAGAAGTTTTATTTATGGTTTTAACCATTACATTAATCATTAGAAAAATGTATGAAAACTTCCCACAAAAGAAAAATCCAACTTATGCTATTAAAGCCCGTCTACTGAAGTTGCTTTCAGTTTCTCCATTATTGAGGTATTAAACTTTTCTTACCTGCATTTCTAACTTCTGAAAGTAATGTTAGGCATTCCTGCAGAATAAACTCTGGTGTGGTCTGGCATAGTTTTGTTTGTTTGTTTGTTTTGTAATTTAAAAATTTTTAAATATAATTTCACCCACAGTATGTACTATATAAATTCTAATTTTAAGGGACTAAGCAAGCAAAATAAATGTGCCTTACCATGGTTCAGACTAAAACTTTTAAAGGGTACACTGGCCAACTAGAGAACTAGAACTAGAACTAGAAAAGCTTGGGCATTTACTCCTCCCCTGAGGCTGACTGCTGACAAACTAGTTTCCTGGGCCGCAGAACTGTGAATCATAATAAAGGTATCTTAGGTCTAAGACCTGTTGAGAACTGAGATGATGGATGCTTTTAACTAGAGCTCTCCGTAACCTTGTACGTTAAATATATTGATGTTTTCCAACTAGTAATAACAAAAAAGCAAATAAACATACTTTGGACAAATATGTCCATAAGGATTGGTCTACCTATAGGCCTAGAAAAATACACAGGTCATCAAAAAAATACAAAAACATTAGCTAAGTCAATACAATTGACCCTTGAACGACATGGAGGTTAAGGGTGCCAACCCCTGAGCAGTCAAAATCCATGTATAAGTTTTGGGGGAGTCAAAAGTTAACTACTAATAGCTGACTGCTAACCAGAAGCCTTTCTGATAACATAAACAGTCCACTAACAGATATTTCATATGTTATATGTATTGTATACTGTATTCTCACAGTAAAAAAAAATTAAAAAGAAAAAAGAGAGAAAATATTAAGAAAAATCATAAGGAAGAGAAAGTACATTCACAGTACTATACTGTTTTTTTGTTTTGTTTTGTTTTGTTTTCAAAAAAACCCTGAATGTAAGTGGATCCACGCAACTCAAATCCATGTGGTTCAAGGGTGAACTGTATTCATCATTAGTGAATTTCTTCAGGAAACATGTATTATATAGGTATAGAATGTACTGATAAAATTTATTATAAGGTAGTAAGACTTTAGAATTTATCTAACTTGCTACTATTTGGAAAAAGTGACTACATAAAAATAAAAAATTAAGAATAAATGACATGTACCTTTATGAAAGTAAAACACTGAATACGTGATTTTTTCCCAAGAGTCAAACTTCGGACTGTAACATACACACAAAGTCCCTAGAAGGAAGAAGGTATTATTTAGTGGAGCTGAAAAGAATCAGAGACAAAAGTTTTCTAAGCCACTTAACCTTTCTTCTCTTCCTTTAGATGTTCTGACTCAATCTACCTCATAGATTTTTCCCAAATTCTAGAAACGGTTTATTAACAAGCTGCTCAGAAATTTCAGTTCAACAATTACTCAGCACACACTGTGCGTGTAATGTAATTTAAAAATTTTGTAATAAGTAATGTAATGCACTGTGGTGAGCTACTGAAGGATAGGAAAGGATAGGAAAATGAATAGACATCTACTCCTGGATATGAAATCATGGGAGTCTAGAGAAGGTTACAAAGGAGATGGTTCTCATATACATATATTTCCCTGCTCTCTTATTAGCTTGCCTTCTGGCTATTACTAATGTAGATCCCAGCTTACCAAAATGTGTCTCCTCTTTACAGACACTTCCCAGTCTTTTTTTTCTATCTGGAATTGGAAGGCAAACTGGGGCAGTAAAAGCAAGTGTGTGTTGGCCCATACCCATCCATATTTGGGTCACTGAGAGCCTTGGCCCAAGCGCAAAGAAGAGAGCTCCTGGCACAGCAATCTTTCCAGATGAGCCCTGACCACCTTCTCTTAGCCCATGGCTTCAGAACACTCTCAGCCTTCACGCGCTCTAGAACATGGGTGGGATATGTCCATCATCTCTAGCAGCTGTTACTAGACACATAGACTAGATGTGCTCATCAAAGACCTACCATGGAGGGCACTATGCCAAAACTGATACTTCCAGTGCTAACATTTATGTTATTACCTGAAGTGGGAGATTTCCAGGGTGGAAAGGAAATTGACCAGAGTCTAGAAAGCTGGGTTCTAGTCCCAGCGCTAAAATTAAGTAGCTGTGTAAATTCAATCATTACTCTACTTCAGTGAATAGCAACATTTCCTCTGTTATACTTCACTAGGTCCTTTATCAAAGAATCATGGTGGTAAGAGAAAAAAAAAGCCAATTTTCTCTAAGAAGGCTATTTAACGACATTAATGAACGTTCTGTTACAATGTTTATCATTTGTGACCATTTTTAATAACATTTAAAACCACATTATATTGTTAGAAGTACATTTAATTCCAATATCTTAGTTGGAAAATAACAAAAAAAGAAAAATTTTATCAGGTACAAATAGTAACAATTCTGTTAGATGTAAAATTACTGTTACGGTTACTAAGTACACAATGATAACTTCTCTTTAAAATTACAGCAGACTCAATAAGAATCAAAGTAACACTATACTAAAGCATAAACAAAAATAGTAATTATAACAGTTTAAAAAGTTCCATGTACCAATTTGACTACTTTCATAAACATACTACCAGCGAAAAACTACTGCTTTATCCTGTTCTTTTATGTTTTATGATTACAAGGAGAAAGAATATTTAGCAAACATAGTTAAAACTTTAGCCTCTGTGGTAATAACAAAATAAAAAATTTTAAAGGCACTTTCATATTAGCACAGTTTTTAAAATGGTAATCAATTCTTTCAAGGGATGAGTAAGAAGAACATTCTCAAATAACAGAGGAGGGAACTGGTACAAACTCTCTGAAACATAGTTTTGCAGAGACTTAAATATATTCATACCTGTCGACCCAAATTCTTCTTGTAGGAATTTATCCTGAGGCATGAACATGAAATGTCAACAATATAAAGAAGATTATATCCCCTATTCTAGCAAATTCCTCCACGCTCCAACCTTTAGGGAATGGAGGACATCAGTCTTCTTGTTTTGAAGAAAGTTAAAGTGAGGTGTAGAATAAATGTATCCAATTACATATACCAAGAGCCATCTTTAGGTCTCATAAGCAAATATTTCCAATAAAGTTGTGGTTTAATTCCCTTTCCCAAGCCCAAAGTGGGGAAAAACATAAAGACACAGCAAGGTGACATGGGATGTGCACAGATTCTACAAAGCTTCTCCCATCCATAGAGTTTTCCTTGATAATAGGAATGTACTATATCTGTGCTGTCCAGATGGTAGCCACCAGCCACAAGTGACTACTGAGCACTTAGAATGTAGCTACTGTGACTGAAAAACTTCTGTTTAATTAATGTGAAGAGCCCCATATAGCTAGTGGCTACCATATTGGACAACCCAGCAATGGAGCACTGGTTCTCAACCTTGAGAGTACATTAAACTCACCTGGAACTCACAGATTCTCAAGCTTCCCATTAGACCAACTGAACCAGAATCTCTGAAGGTAAGACCCAGGCCAGGCATCAGTATTTATTTTTTTTTTTTAAGGGGGAGAGGGTACTCTGGGAGGAGCCAAAGGAGAGAGAAGTCCAACCAGGCTCCATGCCCAGCACAGAGTCTGACACTGGACTCTATCTCACGACCCTGACATCATGAGCTGAGCTGAAATCAGGAGTCAGATGCTCAACTGACCAAGCCACCCAGGCACCCCAGGCATCAATATTTTTAAAATGTGTCTAAGCCAGGGTGCCTGGCTCGTTCAGTTGGTGGAGTATGTGACTCCTGATTTCAGGGTCATGGGTTCAAGCCCCATGTTGGGTGTGGAGATTACTTAAATAAGTAAATAAACTTAAAAAATAAATAAAATGTAGCTGGGGCAACATAATTAAATTCTTTAAATCTCAGTTTCCTCATCTGTAAATAAACAAAATATAGAACCTACTTGATATAGTTCCAACATAAGAATTAAATGAGATAGTATGTATAAAGCTGTGCCAAAGAAGTTATACCTGGCTATAAAGTTTAGATTATTCTTCTTCCATAATGATTTAGCAGCTATTTACAAGTTGGGGGAAGTCACAGTTTGAAAAAACAAAGCATGCTCTTAATGGTGTAACCAAAAAGAGATGTTTAATAAATATTCATCAATGATGAAGAAAAAAATCTTAAAGTTGGCTAGGCTTTGGGAAACTATTTGGACAATGAAAGCTATTATGGACAAAGTTTTCCAAGGGAAATTATCTCATTGTAAAAGGCTCTATAAAATGCTAAAACACAGGACTAATTCTGGGAACTTGTGGAGGGTAACTCTTGCAATTATATGAACAGGAAAGAGAATGTACACTTTTCACCCCTTACCACCTCCCAGTAGATGGTGCCCAAGAAAGAATGACAGCCACTGGCTTAATTACAGCTGCACAGTTGACTATTAAATGGGACAGGAATAAGAATATTTTCTTTCCTTGGGCACCTGGGTGGCTCAGACAGTTAAGCATCTGCCTTTGGCTCAGGTCATGATCACAGGGTCCTGGGATCAAATCCTGCATCAGGCTTCCTGCTTAGTGGGGACTCTGCTTCTTCTGCTTGTGCTATCTCTCGCTCTTTCTCAAATAAATAAATAAAATCTTAAAAAAAAAAAAAGAATATTTTCTTCCCTTCACTGCTTTAGGGAATCTCTGATTTACCCTCCTGCTAAAAATTATTTTTAAAAATCTACATGAGATGGGGGTGCCTGGGTGGCTCAGTGGGTTAAGCCTCTGCCTTAGGCTCAGGTCATGATCTCAGGGGTCCTGTAATCAATCCCCACATCAGGCTTTCTGCTTAGCAGGGAGCCTGCTTCCCCCTCTCTCTGCCTGCCCCTCTGCCTACTTGTGATCTCTCTCTCTATCAAATAAATAAATAAAATCTTAAAAAAAAAAAAAAGAATCTGCATGAGCTCAATCTTTATACAGAAGCAGCCCTTTTGCCCACCATTGCCTATCATCAGAAACCCCTCATCCATTTAACCTCTCCTTAATTGGAAGGTAGGGAATTTCGTGACTTAGGGCAGAAAAATTCAGGACAAAGATGCTTTCAAGAAGGTAACAAGTAATGCTGAAAGGGCAAAGTAGCTCCCAACAACCAACATGAGACAAATGAACATCAAATACTGTGACAGCATCCTCACAGACACAACGTTGCGTCTGTTTAAGACCCTGAGTCTGCCAGCATTCATTTCATGAACCCTGTTCTCTGGTCTCCATGTCCGCAGGAAATGAGGCTCTCTAGAGTTCAGGGAGCCGTGTGGGGATGAGACTCTTTGCTTCCTTCTCCATTCCTACTTCACCGAAGTAGGTTTTCATTTGTTTGTCCACAGTGGTGAAAAAAAAAATCATCTTTAAAAAACCATTGGGGAAATACATGAACTGGTGGCTTATCAGTTAAAAACCCAAAGGTTGCTTCTCTGGCTGGCTGCATCCTAAATCAAGAAGCATCCCATTTGGAACAGGCTTATTTCTATTTCAGAGCTGACTGTGAAGAGCAAGGCTCCTGTTAGACTTTCCTAGCCATCGCTGAGAAAGGGAAGAACAGATTCTCCCACCGCTCGTGCCGATAAACTCAACATCTGATGTCACAGATCGCCCGCTTATAAGTTATAGCTGCTACTGTTCATGAGAAATTCCTATGGGAATAAAATGAAAAGGAATTACAGCTTCAAAGAAGGAAAGCCTAAAATGATTGTTTGTAGTCAGCAGATTTAAACTGAAGTCCTAGGGAAGAACCGATCCTTGTCCCCCACTCGAGCTCTGGACCCCATTACCTCCCACCAGCTCAGCAAATGCCCTCGACCCATTCCTCCTGTCTGCTGTGTCCTGTCGTCTTCTCTCTGGCCTCTTGAGCGTTCAAACATACTGGAGTCTCTACCATCTTTAAAAATAATATTCCCTAAATCTTTCTTCCCTTCCAGCTGCTGCATCTCTCATGTCTACACCTGTTGTGATTTTTTTTACCTCCCACATGCTATTTGACCCAGGACCACCAAAATTCCACCTCAGGCACCCAAACAAAGTGCTCACGTTAACCTCTGTGCTCCCAGACCCCGGATCTCCAGCTTTCACTACCTACTAATGCTTAGCCACCTTTCCCTTGGTCAAACTCCGCCTTTGGCTGCTACAGCAAAGCGCTTGGTTTTCCCCTTCTCTCCAGACACTCTTCTTTTCTTCTTCTTTGGATATTCAACCTCACCTTTACATATTTGCTTCTCAAATCTTAATCCTTAGCTTCTTCCCTTTTGATCCTATATCCTCCCAAGGCTTCAAATGCCCACTACATTTTTAAAAAACTGCCACATTTGTTCATGCCCCATCCTGACGACCTCTCTTCCGAATCCCTGATCTCTCGGTTGACATGTCCAAAACAACCCTCACCGTCTCCCTTTCAAGGCCCCACCCAAACCACTACACGTCAGAAAATGGCCCTCTTTCTCACCCACCTGTTTATGCCAGAAACCTGAGAACCATTCCTTTCCAGCTGACAGCCAGTCTTCTCAGTTCTATCTCCAAACGCATCTCAAACCCATCTAGTCATCACCTCTGCCCCTCATCCTAGTTCAACTGTCCTCCACCCAAACGTAGGACTACAAACTCAACTTAACTGCTCATTGCCCACTTTTCCTCTTGCCTCCTCCAATCCATTCTTCACACGGCAGCCAGTGACCTTTCAAAAATACATATCTAATCACATCAGTGCCCGCTGAAAACACTTCCATGAGGCAGCATCAAGGAATGCCGTGTGAGAAGTTGTTGGGGAATGGGGCACTCCTGCGGTGCCAAATACTTCACAGATCACTTATGCAAGGATTAAAATGGACCTTTTTAAGGGAGAGCGACTGTGGTTACCATGTAACTGAATGACCAAACCTGGCATCACAAATAGTAGGACATCCTGACATTATGTGCCTCCTGATCTGGTGTAAGTAAATTTCATAATATCATCCACGAAGTGTTCTTATGAAAAAATTTTAACCTATGTGTAATGGTGCCTCTCAGTCTAACTACCTATTTTCAGAGAATGTGGAGGATAGAGGAAGGAGTTAAATACTTCCACAAGGAAACAATGAGACAAATCCAGAATGTAGGACATTTCACAAATGTAACAAAATATTAATGTTGTGAAAGAAAAACAAAGGGGGTAGAGTATAGGGGAAGGGCAGTGATCTACATTAAAACAGATGACAAAGACATAATAACCAGAAATAATACATGAGTCTTGATGGCATCCTGACTTTAAAAGTTATACACATGCACACATTTATTCGTTTGTATGCATACATACATATATAACACATATGCATATATGTACACATATAGAAATCTTATACATATATAGGACTTTTAAAAATAATTATGGAAATTTGAATATAAAATAATTATTATTAGTGTGATTAATTTTTCTCAGTGATAATGGAACAGAGGTTATGTAAAGGAGTATCCTTGACCTAAGGAGATACAAGCCAAATTATTTAGTGGTAAAGTGTCAAGATGTCTGCAACTTACTTTTGAATGGTTTAGTCAAAAGGGAGAATATGGGACCCATGCATGGGGAGAATGATCGAGCAAATATTGTAAATGACACAATTAAGTAAAATGTACATGAATGTTCATTCTGTTCTTGAACTTTCCTGTAATGCTTGAACATTCTAAAAAAATTTTTAAAAGCCTTTAATGACCTTAGAACTCTGAGAATAAAATACAAAATCTTTCACGGTCTTCAAGGCCCTATATCAGTTGGCTCAAGCCTACTCTTCAGCTCTCCCCCACGGGCCTCTCCTCTTGTTCACTCTACTTCAGTTACGTGGTTCTTAGTTCACATACACCCTCTGAGTCTCAAAAGAAATATCACTTCCTTCCCTAAACTCCCAACACTGGTTTATGGAGGAACTTCATGCCTGAGAGAAACTGGAAAAAATGGGATGGATTATGGAGTGAGGTGGAAAAGGGAACAATTTTCAGGACTAAGACACAATGCAGCACAATGTCCTGGAGGGTAAGACCAACAGGGATAGATGAACTGAACTAGAACATATCTGAAGACCCTAGCATCTTCCATTAAACCTCCATTACATACTCTCATAACTTCCTAATTCCTACAATTTATCACAATTCTACTGAAATACTATGTGTGTACTTACACAATGTCTAAATTCCAAACAGTAACTTCTGTACTAATAAAAGTTAGGTCCGTTTTGCTCATCATTGTTATCTCCAATACCTAGCACACATTAAGTCTCCATAAACACTGGATTTGTGAATACCACATAATTTGACTTTAAAGGAATACAGTTTTACTCCAAGTGCTACTTAACTCAGTGGTAACTGTCCACTTGAGCTCGAGTATTTAAAAAGGCTATTAGATTTCATTATTAGAGTTGACTGTTTAGACAATGACAGTACACTAATAACTGTATGTCAAGCTTTGGCTGTTAGCTCAGTAAGTTATAAAATGATTCTTAGAGAAGCTAGGTACATAGCTTTAGAACCCAAATTTATCAGTAAGCCTGACGCAGAAAGCATCCCTGTAATAGGATGCCATTTGCTAAAAGATGGAGCAGGTGAAAATGTGGATCAATTACATATGAATCTATCCCCCTTTTAAAAAACAGAAATAATTACTAGAATAACCCTGCTGACTATTGACTGTGGCTTCTTTAATACAAACAGCAAATGTATAAAACTGTAGTGGAGAAGATAATTTGGCATGTAAATATCCATCTGATCACATATGTAATATCGTATATTTTAAGTATATTTTCAGGACCCTTATGGCTAAACAATGACTACATTTTTTTACAGAACTCAGTATAACTGAATAAATTGATAAATACAATCTTGAGTCTACCTGTATGGTTGGTAAAAACGCACAGGGTCAGGTGTTTGGATAAGTTCTTTTGGTCTTGAAGATCATCACATCCAAAGTTTACAAGTCTAAGAACATAAAGGATAAGAAACTGAATGCATTTAAAAATTAGTTCCCTCTTTCACTTAAGGCAGTGAGCACTGCACTGTATGTCGTATGCTTGAAACTAATATAACATTGTGTGTCAACCACACTTTAATAAGAATTAAGTAAAAATAAATAAAAATTAAAGTTCCTTCATAAAGGGTAGTAACCACTATAACATACTCACAGAAGTAAAGATTTGTGCCTGAGAAATTTAAGTTGATGTTTATTTTTTTGTATAAGTAAAACAGCAACTAAAACAGTGTAAAAACAGTAACAAAAAATACATAAATGGCATGGCCCTGGCAATAGAGAGAAAAAAAAGAAAAAAGAAAAACAGAAGTTGAAAGTACTAGAACTTTTTTCTAAAAGAGAGAACCGCATATACGGTTTCAAAACAAGCATAACCAAGTGTTCATATATGAAGAAATAAAGCTACTGAAACACAGAACAGTTTAGGGTTATCATGATTCTAATTCAAGAAGACTTTCATCTCTTCTGTGCACTAGTGGGCTTGTGCCTATTTTTTCAAAAATGTTCATGTTTTCACTCAATGTAAACTAGTCTGGGGGAAGAAAAGCTCACCTTTGTAAAGGTGTAAAAAGGAAAACAGAAAAATGGTAACACAACAGACATAGCTGAGCCACCCATCGATTGATTGCAACCTGCTCTCCGATGGCAATGAGAGAAGGGGTTTGATGTTTGTTCAAATCCTTTCACTGAATCACAGGAAGAGCACTTTGACGGATCAAAAGAAATGGAAACATCCTACAGGAATAAATGGCTACGAAAATCAATATGATTGACTTTGCATGAAAAACTCTGTGTTTGTGCTTGATAAAGTTGTTTATATTGCCTATAGAGAACAGAAATATCAAAGGTCTCACACACAAACACACACACAGAGAATATTGAATTGTCCTTATATCTGCATACCATACATTAGGTATAAATATAATCATTCTGCCCAGAGTGTCTATAAAAATTAGCAGTAATCAATGAGTAACTTACTTAAATCCCGAGTCACTTAATGTTATATCCAAGGGTGCTTCGAACTGTCAAAAAATCATGAGAAAACAAACCAAAAAATGACATTAATTTAGCAATAATAGCTCTAAAACCCAGAGCAAGTCTGACAATGCTGTGCTTGCCTACTGATGAAAAGCCCTTTTAACCATCATTATCTTAAGATGTTATCCCCCAAATTCACAGCACAGGGAGTCCGTTGGGAATATTCTAGAGTTTACACGCAATCAGAGGCTTGGTGTATATTCATTTCTTAAAGGGCTAATACTTGACAAACTTTGCCTCAGCTTTGAATATCATAAAGGGGTTATATAATATGCCAATCAGGACGGGTAGACTTTTTACAAGACACAGATGACCATGCACATAGGGAAGGACTGGATGCCTTTAGAAGAAGAATGAGTGAGTTTAAAAAAAAAAGAAAAAAGGGCAGGAGGAGTAAATGAAATTCTTGTAATGCTATGATATCAATCTATATAGGACACCAGTACTAATCCTAGTGAAGAATAACATTCTCTTCATCACAGGTAAAGATATTTAGGATTCCTCCACACAAGACCAGCATTCCAAATGGCTTTGCCAGGAGTGATGCTAGATTTTTACTAATTAGACTATACACTCTCATTGATGTTTTACCCTTCTCTCAAATCCACCATCCTCACAAGTCTTTTTGGGTTGAGTGACTTGTAACCACTTAAAGCTATCTACTATAGACCATACCTACTACCTTCTACACGTCCTCACTCATACGCTTGTGTCTTTTTTTTTTTTTTAAGGTTTTTATTTATTTATTTATTTGACAGACAGAGATCACAAGTAGGCAGAGAGGCAGGCAGGAGAGAGAGAGGAGGAAGCAGGCTCCCTGTGGAGCAGAGAGCCCGATGTGGGGCTCGATCCCAGGACCGTGGGATCATGACCTGAGCCAGAGGCAGAGGCTTTAACCCACTGAGCCACCCAGGCACCCCCGCTTATGTCTTTAATAAGAGGTATTCGATTAGCAGAAATTTCCTGTGTGCTCTTCGAATCACCTGTGTTTACTGTATTTGTCACTCATGCAAGTGACTAACACAACAAGAATGCTAAAATTCTATTTCTGATAATAGCTCTCTTTAAAAGGAGGCCATGTGTCCTAAAATTTCCTATTGCCCATCATTCTCTTGGACTTACCATTAAGTTAAACTTCCCATCAGCAGAAAACTGGATGCATTTTAAGACACTCCTTGATATCTAAAAGAGAAAAGAGAATAAATGACAAATTACAAAAAAAGAAGAAATCAACAAAGGGCACCTGACTGGCTCAGGTGGTAGAGTGTGCAACTCTTGATCTTGGGGTTTTGAGTTTGAACCTCACATTGGGTGTAGAGATTACTTAAAAAAAATAAAATTTAAAAAAAAGATCAACAGGGGAGTCTGGGTGGCTCAGTCAGTTGGTGTCTGACTCTTGGTTTTGGCTCAGGTCAAGATCTCAGGGTCATGGGATAGAGCCCCCCGCTGGGCTCTGTGCTCAGTGCAGAGTCTGCTAGAGATGCTCTCTCTCCCTCTCTTTCTCTGTGCCCCCTTGCTGATGTGTATGCATGCGCAGGCTCTCTCTCTCAAATAAAATCTTTTTTTTTTTTTTAAGATTTTATTTATTTGACAGAGAGAGTGAGTGAGCACAAGCAAGGGGACTGGCAGGCAGAGGAAGAAGCAGGCTCCCTGCTGAGAATGGAGCCCCATGTAGGACTAGATCCCAGGACTCTGGGATCTTGACTTGAGCCAACGGCAGAGGCTAAAGCGACTGAGCTATCCAGGTGCCCAAATAAAACCTTTAAAAAACAATAAAAATAAAAGATCAACAAAAACATTAGTAAAAGAGAAAAAGAGAGAAAAGGAAGCAACCAAGAGGTAAACAGTAATGAAAATATTTCATATTTTTAGTAAACTTTCATTAACAGTCCCCATCAATGAAAATGCAGTGATTAATAAATTATAATGATGAGAATGTCCAAATTAAGTTGTTCCGGGAAAAAGGAGGCCAGTGAACTAGTTTTTACCTTCGGGTCAATGTAGTATAATCTCTGCTCTGACATATCCCATTGAGCCCAAACAAAATCCTCAGCTACCCTCTCTCTTGGGAGATGGCCAGAGTCTTTAAGTACCTAAAGAGGCAAAGAGATTTTAGAGATAACCAACTATTTTAAAGGAGAATATTTCTGGATTTAGTATTTTGCATATTTTATCTTTATAATACACATAAATATTCCCACAGTTTATTTTTAGCATTTCCCTATCCCCAACACCTACACACAGAAAGTCTTTCCAGAAAAGACTAAAGGCATGATTTAATTACTAGCTCTTTCCACACACTGTAAAACAAATTATATTATTCTTGTCCCTAGTTAGCCAGACAGTCTGAGGCTGTTGAAGGCAAAGACACATCTACCACAAATCAACACCAGGGCCAACAGAAGATTCAAAGCTTCCCATTCGGTACATAGCCTGCTCAGGTAATCTGTAGACAAAGGGGCTTTACCACCAAAGATAGCAGCTGCGATGCCAAGAAAAGAACTCAAGCCTGGGGGTGGGGAGCACTGCCCCCCAGATCAGCCGTAAGCTATGCGTTTGTCTTTGGTCATGATTGCTACCTTTATGTCTTCTGCAGTGAGTATGGTGATCCTGTCCCTCCTTCAAGACCCAACCTAGGCATGGCCTCCTATACAAAGCCCTCCCTCACCTCCTCCCAAGGAAAAGCTCCTCGCCTCTGTATTCTTATGGTACTCTGGCGTACTTCTATTACAGTTAAAGTGAACTAATGCTGTAAGTCTACCCCAATGAGTATGCACTCTCCTACAACACCTTTATATTCTCAACTTCTGTTCTCAATAAGATTCTAAACTTTGGGCAATGCATCTTGTTTCTATTCTTCTGAAATGTGTTCAATTAGAACAGATTTGGGGACCCCCCAATAAAGGTATATATATACTGACAAGAACATGATCATCAGAGTGTGGTCACCCAGATGCACATCTCAATTTTGTCCCTCTCTAGAGTTCCCTCATCTCTGGGAGCCTTGCTTGCTCTGTAAACATGGGGATAATTATACCACTGCCTATCTGCCACATAATGTTGTTATAAATGCATGGAACCACACACTGCCTTGAGAAGCTGTCACCTAAGCCCTTAAGGATATGGACAGTGGGGGCCCCTGGGGGCTCGGTCAATTAGGCATCTGACTTTTGGTTTCAGTTTAGGTTGTGATCTCAGGGTCCTGGGATCAACTCCCATGCCTGCTCTGCGCTCAGTGGGTGTCTGCTTGAGACTTTCTCTCCCTCTGCTCCTTCCCCATATATGTGTGTGCTCTCTCTTTCAAATAAATAAATAAATCTTAAAAAAAAAAAAAAAAGAGGAACAAGAAGGAGGGCAGCGATGCTTCAGAGGAGGGCAGGCAAGGATGATGGTGTGCTGTGGCCACACCGCGTTGGTCGCTGACAGGTGTCCCCTGGCCTCACTCTGCCGTAGCTTCACAGCTCCCAGCCCTTCTTCTAAGCAGCCAGCCCTCTATCTGTCCCCATTCCTGGTCTTATTTATTTCACTGACCCTGGATTGTTTATGTGACTCTCTCCTCTAAATTCGCATTGCTGGCTTTGGGATTCTGCCTTGGTATGTCTTCCTCTTTAGCCTCTTTTCTGACCCCGGGCCAAGCCTGGCATCTGTAGACTGCCACAATGCCCCTGGTGGCCCAAGGTTCCAGTGACACACTTTCTAGTCATTTTCCAGCCAGGCCTCTTCATTTGAGGCTTTCAATCAGAGATATATAATGAATAAATACCATTTTCCATTTCATGTTCTTCATGTAACTTTAAAATTAAAATCTTCAGAGAAGGATTATTTTGATGCAAGCTATTTAAATATTGAAGGAAGTAATTTTTAATATCAATAATATATTATGATCTTTCATAGTCAAGAAAAAAGACAACCCAATAGAAAAATAGATGAGGATATAACTAGGCAATTTTCAGAAAAACAAATTCACACAGCCAGTGATATTAATGGAAATACCAACTAAAATAATAATGTTATCAACTTAACCCTCAACAAACTGGAAATATTTTTTAAAAAGGGCAAATGCACCTACGACTGGTATGGATAGAGGGAAGGGATACTCTTACCCATTGCTTGTACAACTGTGAATTGTTACAAGGTTTTTTGGAAAGCAAGCTAGCAAAATCTGTTGAAATATATTAAATGCATATACCTGTCAACCCAACTATCCATCCCTGAGGATTTAGCCCAAAGAAATAAGTGTACCAAATACGTAAAGCTATAAAAAATTTTTTTGAGATGATTTGTAACACGAACAGATGAATAACAACAACAAAAAAGTGGCGATCAACTGAGTGTCCACCCACGGGAGAATGACTGAAACTGTGTACATCCAGGGACTATTACGTACTTCTAAAAAGAATGAATTGACCTATTCTGGTTGACTTGTAGATAATGCCACAAAGTTGAATGAGGAAAGAGTGAAGGATAAACCCCTGGGTGTGTCAGGGGTGGGGATGGCAAATATACAGGTTCAGAGAAGTGCATGAAAGGAAACATAATAGGTTACCGACAAAAGTTAGAGGCGAAAAGGCAAGGGAGAAGTAGAATACAAGCAATTAAAAAAAGAAAAAAGAAGACAATTGAACTATAAAACTATATATACCTCCTCTTTTTTATATATATATGTATACATATACATATATATATAAACATATAGTTATGATCCCATTTATTCTATGTATGTCTAAAAATTAGGGGGAAAAGTGTTCTATCTCCATTTAAAAACCTATAGAAATAACCCTGATATATTAAGTCAAAAGCAAAAACCAAAATGGCCAATTATTATGATTCTATTTTGGTAAAAACAACTGAATCCGCGCATGTGCACCCAACTGTGTGTACGTGTGCATGAGCAAGGTAAAGGTGCGGAAAGGGTCCCACAAGGCTGTCTTGAATTATCTCAGGAGACTGAGGTTGGAGAGTGAGGTCAAGATAAAGGAGATAATTAACTCCTTTATACGTCTTGTATTATTCCACATGTTACAACAGCAAGTCTATAATGTGAAAGACATGAAATAAAGAAAGTAGTCTGGGTCTATAACATTACTCTATCTTTAACAGTCTTGAAATGCCACTCTGTAGGGAAAAAACTTCAAAGTAAAAGAGATTTCAAATATTTACCACTCTATTTCCATCTTCTTGGATGACTTGGATATGAAACTTTTCAATATCTTTAAAAAGAGAAACAAGAGAAAGACAGTTGAATCTTTATGAAAATCATGAGCACTTTTTTACCCCTAACAGTGGTGAACCTTGATTTATAAAGACAAAGCAGATTAATCAGCCTGTTGGAAAAACAGTATCATTACACACAGCAGTTTCATAATACAAGTGCAAAACAAAACCCACCTTTCTCCAGACTCCCTCTACTGTCTATAGCTCACTGAGCATTTACTCTGCTCTTCAATATCAATAATACATAAAGCATTTCGCCCTTCCCCTCTCCTGGGTTCCCTCAAATGTTGGCCTTCCCTGAACCAACAGTCTTATTTGTAGCTAACACTGGTTCCTTTGGCCGAGTTTATCTCTAAGCACTTCCCAAATGGTCCCATTCTCTCAATAAGCAATCTAGATTTGGCCATACTTAACCTTCTGCCAATTCTAGTTACAAAAAGGTGGGATAGATAATTGGTCATGAGCATAGACACTGAACATAACCTAAGCCTCTCAGGCCTGTACTTCCCATTACAAATCAGCAGTCCCATTTTGTATCATGAAAGATGGCTTACTAGATAAGATCCACCAGTGGATTTTGTCCCATCTCTGCCACCTTTCCCACCCAAAATTATAAATAAACTTCATTAAAGGACATCCCATTCTTATATGCCTCCACCTGAATTTGACCAAGTATGTGTCTTCAAATTCTATCATCAAATTCTTCTGGCTTCTAATACCTTCCCCTTTCTCAATCTGAGGTAACAGACATCTTAAAGAAGGATGAACTAAAGAAGGCAAAAATGACCTCCATAACTGTCCTATACTCTACCGTGTGACAAAAGTGGAAATCCATGTATGTAGGAGGCCATCATCCCCAGGACAGGGAAACAGAGCAGAGACAAGGGAACAAGTGGAGGCAGAAAGAAAAGCCCTCCCATAGGAGTGCTAGGTCTTAAATGGACATCAAAGGTCAGTTGGACCTTTAGGACAAGGGAGTGTACATCTAGAAGATTCAGTCAAGTCCCATACTTGACTAAGAGATGTGCCCTTCGTGTTCATATATACTAGTAAGAGATACACTTACATTTCTCTTCTGAAATCAGTAACAGATGGTTCTCTGCAAGAGGGCGACTTTCCACATGTGGGTAGAGAAACTGTAAAAAGGAAATGAATCGAAGTCATAAGCAGCAACTACCTTGCTTATACAAATATTTCAAAAGTTTCTGATCACTGCACTACTACTTACCACAGAAGGTGCTGGGAACAATAGAATAGTTGAGGCAAATCACACACACACACACACACACACACACACACACACACATTACAGACAGAGGCAAAGAGGAAAAAGAAACACTTTCAGGAGCTCAGTTTCCAGGGGGAAATTGACGGCAGGTCCGACATAATTCATTTCCACAAGGTTAAAGTAGAAGCTATTTCTAGAGATGAGGCTCCCTATTTTGGAATACGTGATTCTGAAGCCAATCAGAAACAATATAAGCAACAGCTGTACAGAAAGTTCTTTTCCACGTGCACAAAAAAAGTGATCAATACGTCTGTTTCGCAACTAAGCGTAGTATTTAATTTGACAACCCAGTAAACACAAGCTCTCCAACAACTTCCAAAGTAGTCCCCCATCCAAGAGACAAAGCAGGATGTAACTCGGGACTTTCCAAGAAAGAACGGTGAGTCACAGCGTGGCATGCGGTAGAGGATTTACAAGCCTCAAATAATAGAATGACTGCCCCGGGAAGAAAAGGCTTAATCCACCCCATTCCTCCTTGTCTGTGCCCTCCCACATGTGCCAGCCCCCAGGACAAAGCGGCCAGCCAGAAACACAGGCCTGATGCTACGAGCCGTGATAATGAGGGAAAAGGGTTGACTCCAGTGACTTAATTCTTTCATCATCAAAAGGGTAACTAGAAATGAGCAGTTTCAATTTGTAACATGAAAGACAGTTTACGATATAGGATCCGCCAGTGGATTTTGGTTTTTCCCTCCAACCCTCAAAGCACAATGAAATATAACCCTTTTAGGTCCCTACTTTATAGTCGGCAGCCTCTCTAAAGACTAGGAAAAATTTTGACAAAAGATATTCCCTTGTGCTCTAACTTTTCATGCTGACGAAATGGAAATACAACTGGTAAATTTTTCAAATTGTCCATTGTCAAGTTTCCTTTTTAGAATCGAGAAACAAAACATTAACTATACATCATTTCTCTACAGCAAAAACTTCAAAATTATACAATAGATAGCAATGCAGAACTCAGCTACGAAAATAACGTAGAAACGGGGTGCCTGGGTGGCTCAATGGGTTAAAGCCTCTGCCTTCAGCTCAGGTCATGATCTCAGGTCCTGGGATCAAGCCCCCCATTGGGCTCTCTGCTCAGCAGGGAGCCTGCTTCCTCCTCTCTCTCTGCTTACTTGTGATCTCTGTCTGTTAAATAAATAAAATCTTAAAAAAAAAAAAGGGGAAAGACAATAATGTAGAACCTATTATGTCTTGATTTTATGAAACTATGCACATCAGACAGGAAACTGTGTACTGGGGTCCGGGAGCAAAGCTGAGTGACACCATACAGATAATGAAAGCACAAACACTCAGTGCCTCATGATAAGGAGACAGTCCTACGGAAGACAATTCAGCCTCCCTTGGGACCACAGAGGTGGCCAAGGCGTGCTTGCTTAGGACTGTCACCTGAAGGAAGGTGCTGATAAGTTCTAAACTTTTGTCTGGTCTTTGCATGGCCATCAGTAAGAACATGATTTTAAAAGTTCCATTTAGGTGGTGGAGGTTTTCCTTCTACGATGAGACAGCCCTAGAGTCTGGAAGTCGGACTACAGACAGACAGGCTTCAGAAAAAAAAAAAAAAGAAATCCAAGGTTTTGTTTGGATTTTGCAGTCTCAGTAGAAATCTGTATAGATTACATCATATTAGGGGAATATTTATCTTTACCACTATGGAGCTAGACTCTGATGATTAATTCCAGTTGGTAGATATGTACTATAGATGGTATCTGGAACTATCTGGAAGATGCAGGGCTTGCTGGTAGGCAATTCTCAGAAGCGACCATATTGGGATCCAAGCCCCACCCACTCCTGTCCTGCTAAAGTTTCTCTCTGAAGGAGGTCGAGGCTGTACATACAGACTTGGGGATGCACTACTGGAGATCACCATGAATGTTTTGGTAAGGAAAGGGAGACAGGTTGCAGGGCAAAGCCAAACTCAGTGACATTGAATGGCATTTCTGTAAAGGGGAGAGGGAGGGGGCAAGGGGGTTAGAGGTTTGCCCTGGATGGAGGTTTGAGGAATTTTTCTACCCTCAGAGGAACAGGCATGAGGAGCAGGGAGAAGGGCTAGGAACAGAGATGGGTCCACAAAACAAGGACAGGGTTTTGTTTTAAGATTTTATTTATTTATTTATTTGTCAGAGAGAGACAGAGACAGCGAGAAGAGGAACACAAGAAGGGAGAGTGGGAGAGGAAGAAGCAGGCTCTCTGCTAAGCAGGGAGCCTGATGGGGGGCTTGATCCCAGGACCTTGGGCTCATGACCTGAGCCAAAGGCAGATGCACAATGACTGAGCCACCCAGGCACCCCAACAAGGACAGGTTTTACTTCATTTGGACGGGGACTTTCCCTTTGGCCTAAGGAAGCAGTCATGTGTCATGTACTATTAATTTTTTCTTTTAAATTGAGACAAAATTTGCATAGCAGAAAAATCACCTTTTTAACTGCTTTAAAATATACAATTCAGTAATTGTTAATACATTTGCACTGCTGTGCAACCACATACTTATAAAATCTCTTGCACTTCCAGGGCTCGGATTCCCTTTAGCTGCCTCCACCCTTCAATAACATCTCCATTGCCGGACACAGTCATGGATGGAGATGCTAAGGAAGCCAAAAGAACAGGAGAGAAAAGGGATATGGTCTGTCCCAAAGTCACCCCAGTACTGATGACAGTGTAGACATAGCAGCTTCCTGGGGGAGGGGGAAGGTGGCCGAGGAGCTCGGCACCAGGCCCTGTCTGCAAGCAGGTCAGAGCTGCTGGTTAAGACGCGAGGGGGCAGATGGGAGAGAAACCCCATCCTGACCCACTGCAAGAGGGAGACCCAGAGGCTCGAGGCAGGGAGGAGGTAGGTGGGATGAGAAGCGGTGGTTCAGGTTACGCGAGGAAGTCACGCTCCAGCCCTGCACAGTCTACGGATTGCCACCAACACCACGGTGAGTGAAATCCTGAACGGCCGCTCCCACGGGAAATGCAAGGATATGTGCCAACCAAGTAATACATAACCTTGTTTCATGTGTGCTCTGTTTTAAAGAGCTCTTATTTAATAGACATTGTTGATCCATTAGCATTGAACCCATGGGCAACAGCGCCGTAATCTCATGCCTGAATGAAGCATATCTAACCCACATATCTTCTCTATAAACCACAGCTCAGCCTTCTTGCGCTCAGGTACCCGACACAGCTCTCGGGCGCTCTGCGTGGGGAACAGTTTCAATAGTGAAATCACCAGCGAAAAGCCCCCAAATGTGAAAATCATGGCACTAAAGAGATCGTGAAAACGACACCCATTTACAGGGAGAGAGGTGAGCCGAGAAGCCGAGTGTCACCTTGGTCGGCCTCAGCTGGGTGACAAATTTTTCACCGCTGTGCGCATGTGTGCAGACAAGTATAAAAGCGCCGTGAATACTGACTTTGGTGTTACAAATAGACTGTGGTAAGTAGTACAACTCACAGGTTCAGAGCGTGCGAGTAATGAACAGACTATGTTTGGTCCACCTGCCCCAGACACATGGTGCTTCTGGGTCCTTCCACGGAGTTGATAAAGTCAGGGATTAAGCCATTTATTCCTATTTACTCTGAACTACAGGAGTACATTACTTAAACCATTTTTTAAACTTACCTTCGATGTGTGTTGAGAGTCAGCATTTTACCAAGTCAAACCATTACATGACTCTCAGACAAACCATGATAAAACAGAGTCAGAGGAACTAGGTTGAGTGTGACATCCGCGTTTGCAAAGGGTGAGCGGATAATTCCAGCCAGACCCATCTACCAGATTGCTCTGAGGATTAAATGTGATAATGGCTGTGAAAACACTCGGTAAGCACCATTGCCTCCAGGTTTCACACCTTTTGATTAGCAAGATGAATGATAGCCACGTGATGAATGATAGCCACGTGCTCCGTGCTTACCTGCACCCAAATGTAGCTATCCACGGCTTTTAGAACCTTCACGTTGTTTACAGGGTGGATTTCAACCAACAAAGTTAAACACTTTGATCCTAGAAAGAGAAAGAAGCTTTTAGTAATGGAAGATCAGAATGTCGTTTGTCATCTTCTCCACTGCAGTCCGAACTTTGGAAGTGTAAATACGTTACCTATTGTGCTAGCTCTTCCGACAGGAAAAGTAATTTTCTTAAAATTTACTTTGACAGTTCTTAAAACCCACAACAGATGAAGAAAATCTCATGGAAGAGAAACTGATATATAGAGAGAGGGCCAAGCACCTGCCCATTCCTCAGCCAACTAGCACAGCCTCACAGGCCCTCTGGGCTTCTAAGTAAACACAACTCCATTCACCATCACTCCCAATTCTGCAGCACAAGGGCAAATAGCGCTTGTGGGTGAAAACGTAAAGATATTTCTGATACATGACCAGGCCCCAGTTGGCAGCTGAAGAGGACAGGGGCCTGGCTTCCCTCTGGGATGGTGGTGGAGCTTAGCTGATATAGACCCACTTAGTTCCTCAGTGTCACATTGCAGTGAATGTCATAAAAGATAACAATGAGGAGGAAGTCCTTGGACACAGACTAGAACAGGATCACCACAGATATCCACATTTAGGCCAACAGTCCCCCTTCCCCAAGATGAAACCTCAGACAAGGAGTCGCCTGAGAGCTGAGTTCTTACAAAGACCAATATTCTCAGGGGCTTTCTCAAGGCTTTTGAATAAAAATGTACAATTTCAGGACAGCACAGCAGCCTGGAATTGAGTCAATGCCGATTTTCACTATTTAAGAAACTAACCTGACAGCAAATAAAGGCAAAGAATTGAAAACAATTCCTGTGATATGGTCTTAGGATGGCAAGCACTGGATAGCTTTGTAAACATGCCTTTTAAAGATGATTGAAAAACCAAGACAGTGAGTTACTATGTGGGATCCCACATATACACGGACAGAACAGGTGAAAATCAAATATTGTTCAGTCAGTGGTACTTAGAGCTTAGGATAAAATTCCCAGTGACAGGATCAGATGCCAGGTCAAAAGGGCTATACTTCCAATAACTGGGACAGAGGTAAAGGTGAGGAGCGTTGGTAATCTACTTGATAACTCAAAAAAGAAAAAAAAAATGTCTCTAGGAATAAGAAAGACATTGGTGTCAGAGTGCCTGGGTGGCTTGGTGGGTCGAGCGTCTGACTCTTGATTTCGGCTCAGGTCAGGGTCTCGGGGTCGTGAGATTGAGCCCCGCATCAGGCTCCATGCTCAGTAGGAAGTCTGCTTGAAATTCTTTCCCCCACCTTCTCCCTCCCCCTCTGCTGCTCTCCCCACTCACAGGTGCTTGTTTTCTCTCCCTCTAATAAATAAATAAAATCTTTTTTTAAAAAAAGATTTTAGTGTCAAAGATGCTTGAGAAGAAAAACAGAAATGCTTTGTGAAATGTGAGAATGAGGAAAAAAAGCAATTTTCCTTATTATGTTATTTTACATTGTGTAAATAATTAAATTAATAATTCCAGTTACTATATTAAGTGGTACAAGCTGACATTTGGCTATTTAATGTCTTCCCCCAAAAGTTTATATATCCCAACTTGGAAAAAAAAAAATTTTACAGGACAGGCAAGGGAACCTCCTTGGAGGAGGAGTAAAAGAATTTAGACTTTTTGCTAGTGAACTTGATAACCAGCCATCAGCTAAATTCACTTGACTTTAAAATGGGAGGATTTTCAAGAACAGAAGCCATCTTCCTACACTGATTTTTCCCTTTTGGGGGGGCAGCCCAGACACCTAACTAATAAGCATAATGATAAGAGTAATCATGCAAACAGGAATTTCTCTCAGTAACATACCATGTGCTTTCATGGTGTTATATGACGTACTCTGGATTAGGACTCTAGAGACATCTGTTCCAGTTTACACTCTGCTGCTAACCTAACAGACACTTTTCAGAAAGGACAAAGTATTCCTAGGCTTCCAAGCCCTGTTATTAAAAAAGACAAAAACTAGAGAATCAGATCACTTCTACAACCACTGTCAGTCATGAAAGTCCATGATTCCAAGAAGTGCTTAAAGTCTTAGGAAGTTCGAGAATCCAGATGTCAGCGGAGCCTGGGAGGGCATCAGCATAGGGGATGGCAGATCCAGATAGGCTGTGGATATCACAAAAACTAGAGACAGCAGGAGCAAAAGTGACAATTTGGAAGGATCTTGAGGGCACGTCACTAAGTGAAATCAGAGAAGGACAAATACCGTATCATTTGTCTAATGTGTGGGCTCCTAGAAAGAGGAAAGAAATCCCCAAGCTCATAGATACAGAAAACAAACTGGCAGTTACAAGAGGTGAGGGTGGAGAATGGAAGAAACAAGTGCACTGCTTTGTTTTTTTAGTTTAAATAAATTGAACAAAAATTAAAAAAAATAAAAGCCTAAGGATGGGCATGGCATGGGAGGGTAGAGGGTGGCAAAAGAATCTGGTCTGATTCAAGTGAAGACGCATGATGCCAAGGTTGGAAGAGTCTAGCAGGGTCTGGAACGGAAGCAGCTCTGGTTCCTGGAGCTCCTGAACCAAACCACAGCTCCATGGAACATCCGCTGCTCTTGACTATAATGGCGCAGGGGCCTCGGGAGTCTCGGGGGAGTGGGACCCAGCACATGTGGCCACCCCCATAGCTGCCTAGCGGGCTGGCACTGTGCCTGAGGCAAATGCGACTCCATGGGGGGGTGAAGGGGACAGCTAGGTCCTGTTCTTCTTCCTTTATCTTTTTTTCTTTTAAGTAAGCTCTATGCCCAACATGGGGTTTGAACTCACAACCCTGAGATCAGAAGCTGCATATTCTATTGACTGAGCCAGCCAGGCGTCTCCTCTTTTACTTCTTCCTAAACTAAACATTAATCTGCCACAGCCAAGAAGAGAAGCACTATGGATAAAAACTGTGTTGCCAAGTTTGTGGACCAAAGGACCCTATCTTGTTCATGTGGAAGATGTTACAGTTTGTCTCAGCTGCAACGGAAAAATCTCATTATAAGCAACAGAGCGTTAAACATTACCTCCGGGCAAACTATGCTTTATAATCAAATGGCTTTTCGGGTCATTCATGGGCAGATAAAATAAGGCTTTCCAAAATACTTGTTCAAACGATAAAATGCCATAATAAAGTCTACAGTGCTTTCTGGTCACATCATTTCTGAACTCTTAACTGAGCAAAGGCCTTATAGGGTCTCTATGATCTGCCTATACTTCAGCCGTTTTCCTCTGGCCTCAGTTCCTACCACTCTGCCCTTTTTTCGTTCAGCCTCATTGACCTCCTCGCTATCCTTACCAGCAAGTCCACCAAGTACACTCTGGCCCCAGGACCTTTGTGCTGGTGTTGTCCGTGTCAGAAATGTGCCTTCCCCACAGCCGCGCGCTTGCTCCCTCCCTTCATTCAGATCTGTTTAAACACTCTCCTAACAGCGCTTCCTAGGATCATCCCTCAAATAAACTAACTGCATTCAGATGCTTGCCTCAGACTGTACTTAGAGGGAAAACCCAAACTAAGACAAGAGGGCTATGGTGTGAGGGAGCGGGGAGCGTGAAACAGGAAGGAGAACCCTCCAGCAAGCGGGACCTTATCAAATTCGTGACCACCTTGGGACTTGAGCAGCATGGAGGACACCTCAGAATTATCTACTTCCAGGATGGAAAGGGGAGTATTTATCCTTCCGCTCGCCTTGCCCCCTCATTGGTCATGGCTTGTCCTATTGGGAATCCTTCCCAGCCACACTTCCAGGCAGCACGAGCACAGATAGTGAATATTTTCCCACGGGCTCTGGGCAAAAAGCAAGAAGCAGGCGGAGCAGCCGAGTTAAGGTGCTGTCTGTCAAATTCAGTCTGGGCAGCGCAGGTTCTCACTGCAGCAGCTGGCCTGAAAGGTGAACTGACAAGATAGAAAGCATCAGGAAGCCAATAAAATACACCTAAAGACATTCCTTCTAGTATGTTGAAAGACGTGATCAGATAATCTCACTGGAGGGGCATCAAACGTTAAAGACTGAGTTAGTAGACCTGAACGGAATTTTTTTTTTTTTTAAGTTTTAATGATTTGAGAGAGAAAGAGAGACCTGAAGAGAGGGTAGAGGGAGAGGGAGAGCACCTCAAACAGACTTCCCGCTGAGCATGGAGCATGACATGGGCCTCATGATCCCAAGGTCATAACCCGAGCCAAAACCAAGAGTCAGACGCTTAAATGACTGAGCCACCCAGGCGCCCCATGAATAGGATTTAATTTAATAAAACTTACAGTGAAGTTCATCTGAAAGTATATTTTATTTTTTTTAAAAGATGTTATTTATTTGCAAGAGAAAGAGAGCATGAGTGAGGGGAGGGGCATTGGGAGAGGGAAAAGCAGACTCCCCACTGAGCAGCAAGCCTGATGTAGGGTTCAATCCCAGAACCCTGGGACCTTGACGTGAGCCTAAGGCAGATGCTTAGCTGACTGAGCCACGCAGGCGCCCCTGAAAGTATCTTTTATAACATACATAATCGTCACTGTTCTGCACGACAATCAGGCATAGCTGGTAAACATCATGTAAAGAATATAGGTTCCGGGGCGCCTGGGTGGCTCAGTGGCTTAAAGCCTCTGCCTTCGGCTCAGGTCATGATCCCAAGGTCCTGGGATCGAGCCCTGCATCAGGCTCTCTGCTCAGCGGGGAGCCTGCTTCCTCCTCTCTCTCTGCCTGCTTCTCTGCCTACTTGTGATCTCTCTGTCAAATAAATAAATAAAATCTTTAAAAAAAAAAAAAAAGAATATAGGTTCCACTGGGTTTGCCAGCAAAATAAAGATTTCCTGAGTCTAAAAGAAATAAGGGCCAAAAAGGCCTGAGCAGAATTTCTTAAAAATATTTAAGCCAACATTTAAAAATTAAAGTTTTACACAAAAGTTCATACTTCCCTTGGTAAATTGAAAAGCTGGTCCCCTGGGGTTAGAGCTCTCCTCTGAAGATGGGACCAAGCTCCATGGCGTACCCCCACCGACCCCTTAGTCCCCAGAGCTCACCGTGAGGGCACCTGCTACACCTCTCTCGTATGCAGAGTGCCTCACCCACTGCAGGCACTCACTTGTTGAGCTCTGGACAGATGGATGACACAAAATGTTAAAAAGGAGGGAATATCACATAGATAATAAACTACAGAGTGGGTCCTGGCAAATGAGAATTTTTATTTAGAATTGATGGTCTATTCACAGTGTATTAGGTATGGGTTAACAGCTCATCAGATTTAAAAAAAAAAATGATATTCTTGAAGGAATAGGAACCCTTTCCCAGCCCTTTTTATACCACCTGATCACAGGGTTCTAGTATTTTCTCAGTGTTTATTTGTCTGCAGGTGCTAACTGCCTTTTTAATACCCCTACTATTCACTGTCACATTATATTCTGTATTCTCTTGTTTACTTGAGAAAAAAATTGCAGAACATTTTCATGCTTGACATGACCTTTGCCTTTTTATTCTGAGATAAAGCTATTTGTAAAGTTGCTTGTAATTTGACTTAGTAGTGAATAAAACTTCATCTTTCAACAGGCACTAAAAAAAAAGAATGTCATACCTGGTTGAAGCTCGTTCTTTCTTCCTTCTTTAGTAAAATGAACTAAACTTGCCGCTAGTGGAAAAAGAAAAACAAAATCATCCATTAGCAAATGATCCACTCAGTGACTGGTTAAGATCTACCATTTTATACCTGAAGCAAGTGAGGGCTCAAAGGATCTGTCAGTGGATGAATGATTAAGGTAACGCAGAAAGCATTCTTTTTCTTGTAAGTAGACTCCACAGATTTTTTAGTTCAAAATTAACCTCCCAAGAGCATCTTTTCCCAGAAAATCATTGTTGTAGAATAGTCAAATATTGCAAAAGTCCAAACTCAACAAATGTAGTTTAGTTCTTGACATGTAGCAATAAAAGAGTTGAACTTACCAAGCAAAGTTCTCTCACTATTGACAGAGCAACTGACAACGTGCAAGTCTTTCTCAAATGTATAGAGATGCTGTGAAAACAAAATGATTTTTTTAATTTGGGAGTTTTGTATTAACAATTTTAGAATTCAAATTCCCAGTTATCATGGTGGTATCATGGTGGCCAGACATTTTAGTAAGGAACCATCAATTAACCAGTTTATCCATACTGAGAAGTTCCAGATTATTTTTTAAGAGAAAAGTTTGCAACTGTAGGCCACAGGAGGCCCTGAAACTTAACCATAAGGCAACTTGGCTTAGAGGTTAAAAGCCTAGACCTTGGAGCCAGGCTGGACGTAGGATCAATTTCTGTGCTGGCTGTGTGACTAAGGACAAGTTGTTGTTGTTGTTCTTTTTTTCTTTTTTAAGATTTTATTTATTTTTTGAGAAAGAGAGACCACAAGCAAGTGGAGGGGCAGAGGGAGAGGGAGAAGCAGACTCCCCACTGAGCAGGGAGTCTAACACAGGGCTCCATCTCAGGACCCTGGGATCGCAACCTCAGCCAAAGGTAGAAGCTTAACCGACTGGGCCACCCAGGCACCCCTGGACAAGTTATTCAATCTTTCTAATCTTCCATCAGTAAAATAAAAATCACAATATCTATTTCATGAAATCTTTAGAAGGATCAACTGAGATAATCCATACAAAGCACTTATACAATGCCTGTCACCCGTAATAAGCCCTCAGAAGTCAGCTATTATAATTATTGAGAAAGTAAAGTTTTAATCAAGTTACCTAACTATGATAACATTTAACTATGTCTAAGAGACTATCACAAGTGCATCTACTGTAAGACTCTGATATTCAGAACCTTGGCAAAGTAATCTTCTATTTTTACTTACTCTTTTAAAAATTTTCTTGCTGTTTGAAATGTTGCAAGATTCCATTTCCTTATTAAATATTAAAGAAAATGAAAATAGTCATGCAGGAGGATATAATATGCAAATTGAGGAAATGAAGACAATTGCAGTTATATTAGGCAAACTCCCTTACAATACCCTCAGAGGGTAAGAAAAGATCAAGAGTCTGAGACCTCAGTAGACACCAGGCTACGAGAAACAACATGCAGCAGGAGTATTAGGAAGGTAATTAATACTTGCAGATTTACAAAAGCACTGAGAACACACTAGAATCCTATGGCTAGAAGCTGATGAAAAATGTTGTCACGAAATGCTTAATTAGAAAAAGTGAACTTTGAATGAATAAGGAGGCTCTCAATTCATGTGAGACACATTTTGGTTTCCCTTGACTCTTGCTCTAAGAGATTCTAATCTGCAAGTAAGAAGAATCACGAATGTATACACTTAACTTTTAGTGTTTTACTCTTTTAATTATAAAATGACAAACATAGTCTCAGTGTTTAAAACATGCAAATACCACCAAATAAAAACATCAAAGCTCTTTGCTATGCTCCTCCATATGAACTCCCTTCCAAAAGGAAACATGCTTGTAATTGACTCTGTAGTCTTCCAGATCTTTTTAATATATATTTATGTTTTCTCACAAGTTTTTAAAAACATAAATGAAATGTATTATTCTGGCAATTTGTTTTGTTTTGTTTTCACATAACAGTATGTTTTGGAGAACCTTCTGTGCCAGTATATGTTCAAAGACTTCTTACTCCCTTACTGTAAGTTGTTTGTACATAAGCACAAAATGAATCCTTCACATTTGCACCAAGAATTAGATAAGACCTGTCTCATCAACCAATGTTCTATGTGTGTGGTGTGGGGAAAAATTAAGGAAAGGAAGCTGGGTTCTATACCTGGATCTTTGAGAAGAAAGAGAAGTGAAATTTAAGGAGAAACAGAACTCAGAGCCAGAGGTCATTATGAGACCCTAAACTTCTGGGAGCATGCAAATCTCAGGAAGTTACTGGACTTCCTACATTCTTACAGAATACTGGATAACTGATTTGAGCCAATTTTGCTTAAATCTCCAAGGACTACGAAACTTCTGATTACGTTTTGGTCCAGAAGTCCTTGCACTTCATTTACTTATTTATTTTTAAAGATAATGGCACCAAGAGATGGTAAAAGAGAGAAAGAAGGCAAAGAAATAAAAACTAAATTTTTGAAAATGAAATGAGAATCTGTAAAAGGAAAAGGAGGCAGAAAGAAGAAAAAACTCTAAAAGCAATAACTAATGAATAATCTATGATTTACAGTGATTTTTACCTCATTTTGTCTGGTTCGGCAGTCATATAATCCAAAGAAGACATTTCCCTTATCATCCTTTAAAAAATTAACCAGATATTTATTATATATTATTGTTAAGGAAGTTAGGATGTTACTCTTAAACCTGCAATAATTCAATCAATATTAGCAATAAGCACTCTAAAGGTAGCATGTCAGAAAGGGACTAAACATTTTTCAGCTAGTAATATGAGCCCAAAGAGTGAAATGGATTCAGAGCATACAGCTCTGTGAATCTGGGGAACACTGTCTAGGAGGTAGTAGAGTATGGCAAAGGAGCGAATGTTTTTGTACTTCCATTTATTTCTTCAAGGCAATATATAAGATAGAGATTGGGAGTGGCTAAAACAAGTCCACGATATTCTTGTAAATAAAACTTTTTGAATCATACCATTCTTTAAATGCAGCACACTTGTAGAAGACAGTTTAAACTAATTTTTTAAAAAGATTTTATTTACGTAAGTAATCTCTACACCCAACATGGGGCTCAAACTCACAACCCCAAGATCAAGAGTCTCACACTCCACTGACTGGGCCAGCCAGATGCCCCAACTTAAAATGACCTTTGAGCAAATAAATTAGTTAATAAATAAATACAGTAGTACATCTGTGCAAAGCAAGCTGGCTACTGAAATTATTCTTTCATGTTTCCCTACCACAGTAAAGTTACCAGTAAAGTTACATTTTTATTCATTAGAACACTTAATATTGAAAACACTTTAAGCAATGATGCCTCAAAAGTCTGAGCATTCTTATGTCTAAACAGATGATGTTGAGTAATCCTATTTAATATTTTCTCAAAGATAAAATCTTACATATTAATTAGGTTTAAATGTCTTTCACTTGACATTTTTTCTCCTGCAAAATGGAACTGTCCATTTACTCAAAAAAATCTGAGCACCGAGTCTGAGTGTCAGACATTGTGCACAATTTTTATTAAAAAAAAAACATTCCGTTAAGACTGAATTCCAATCACCTTATTTAATTTCACAAAATAAAAAAGTCGCATTAAAGATCAAATGCCAACAATCTTATTCATTACCCCTCAGTAAGATATAGCATAAAATTCTATTTTAAAAAAGACCATAAATAGTTAAAATAGCAAATTCTACATTACATATATCTTACCACAACTAAAAAAAAAAAAGAGAATATAGACATACCTTGTAGGTATAAATAATATTTCCATTTCTTTCAACATTTAGTATACGTAAGCTCTCATAATTATTTTCCAAAACACCTAAAATGATAAGAGAATAACAGCAAGTTAATATTTAACAGGGAATTTTTTTTTTTTTAAGAGAGTGAGCACACACATGAGCAGGGAAGAGGGGCAGAGGGTGAAGGAAAGAGAGAATCTCAAGCAGGCGCCACAACCAGCACGGAGCCCAACCCAGGGCTCAACCTCATGAACCTGAGGTCATGACCTGAGCCAAAATCAAAGTCAGATGCTTAATTGACTGAGCCACTCAGAGCCCCCAACAGGGACTGTTTAAAAAAAACGTATCTAACAAGTAAAAGCCAAGTAAAAAAGAACACATACTGATGATCCCATTATACAGAGTTCTAAAATAGGCAAACTAATCTATTGTGTAAGAGGTCAGAATAGTTGTGACCTTTAGGGAAGAGGAGAGGACTAGTGATTGGGAGGTATGTGTAGGGAGGCCTTCCAAGGAGCTGCTAATGCTGCATGTGTTGTATACTGATATATTTATTTGGCAATAACTAAATGAGATTTACACTCTCATCCTACATACTTTGCTGTGTATATCTTACACTTTAATAAAGTATCTATTAGTTTTTGCCTTATGTATTTTGAAGCTATATTGTTAGAGGCATAAGAATTGAGAACTGTTATTGCTTCCTGGTGGATTAACCTATCAGGAACTCAGGAGAACTGCCTGGTGTCCCAGCAGTCGATTAAAGCAACAAGGTGAAAAAGCAAGTAACAGTCAAGCCTGTTATCACTCGGCTGTGATAGTATAAGCAAGAGTCCATATCAGAGAAAGCACCAACTTCCCAGTTCACTTTTCACTTCTCCCCATGGAACGACATGCTAGTCGGGGGTAGGTAGATCAGGCAGAGAGGTGGGGAATCTCTCATTGCTGAACAAACACCCTTAACAAAAGACTCCTACAGTGTTGTGGTCTCTGTGGCTCAGGGCAGGGAGAGGGAGAAGAGCTAAGAGTGGAAAAGTACTGAGTGAAAGTGGAGAAAAAGATATCTTCAAGGTTCCCCTCCTTTTCCTATGGAGGTAGTATCAACAGAGGTACCTAAGGAGGGTCTCTACTGATGGCTCCTGATATGAGGCCTCTGAAGGAAGGTTCCTGGGCTGAGGATACAGCTCTGGATATGAAGACATCCAGCCAGGGGGGCCTGAGTCTTAACTATAACTCCCTTCAGGAACTGCAGCGCACTGGCTAGGCACCAAGTCTGGTTTGGGGAGGACAGCTTCCCCCCCAGGAGGCCTGCCACGTAAAGCTTTTGCAGTTGCTTAGGGTTGCACATAAAAAAATCATGCATGCTTTTTAACCAGGAGCTGGATGAGTTAACCTTTTTATTTACTATAAAAGGTCCTTTATCTTTAATATTTTTGATTTTACATTTACTTTGTCTGCTATCAGTATAGCAACATCAGCTTTCATTTGGTTAGCATTTACATAATTTTTTTCTATCCTTTTATTATTACTCTTCCTGTGTCCTTATACTTAAGATATGTAGTCTTACAAGCAATATCCTTTAGAGTAGGTAGGTAGTCCACTTACATTTAATCTCCAATATTTGGGGTTTGGATCAATCACATTTGTATACAATGTATACACAAAATACATTGTATACAATGTATACACAAAAAATAAATCACAATTTATTTTTTATGTGACTCAATTGTTTTAGTCTTTCCTTGCCTTCTTCTGGATGAATAAAAAATCTACTATTTCATTCTCCTACTTATTATCAGTTATATATTCTTTTCTAGTCTTTCATTAGCCACCCCAAAGATTACAATACAATTCCTTGACTTGCTACGTTTTCATATTATGCGATGCCAAGAAATGTGAAGGAACTGAAACTCTCAAAAACTGTTAACAGGAATGTAAATTGGAAAACTCGTAGCTACTGAAGCTGAACATATATGCAGTGGAAATATACACATATTTCAGCAAATGACACATGTAATTTCTGTAGCACTATGATTCATAGTAGCCCAATCTGGAAATCCAAAATATTCATCAAGTAAAAAGAATGAATAAATTGTGGGATATCAAACAATGGACTATTGTATAACAATCATAATAAATAACTCGCTGTAACATACAATATAAATAATAGTCCAAAAAGCCCAGTTAGTTCCCCCCTCCTAAGAAAGGTATAAACTATATGATTTAATTTATGCACAAGTTTCAAAACCAGGCAAAATGAATCTATAATGCTAGATGAATGATTGCTGGAAAGGAACATGAAGGGGAACTTTGCGGTTCTATTAATGTTCTCTTTCCCGCTCTGAGTGATAGTTACATGGGTGTGTTTCACTTCGTGAAAATCAACCAAGCTGTGCATTTATGATTTGTGTACTTTTCTGTATGAAAGCCATACTTTAACTCAAAGAGAGAAAGATTCTTTACACAAAACATTTAACTTGAAAGTTAATTGACCATCATGTTTCAGCTAAAATTTTAGTATATTCCTCTCAATTCTATAATTCAAGGATTTAAACATTAGTAGATACAGCTTTGGTAATTATCATCAATTAGACAGAAATAGGTTTCCCCAGTTTCCTCAAAATCGAATTGCTTAAACTTGAGTCATTTTCCCTACACACGAATAGTGTTTTAGATGTTAAAATATTATGTTAGGGGGGCCCAGGTGGCTCAGTCATGTGTCTGCCTTTGGCTCAGTTGATGATCCCAGGGTCCTGGGATCGAGCCCCTCAATGGGCTCCCTGCACAGCGAGAAGCCTACTTCTCCCTTTCCCATGTCCCCTACTTGTGTTCCCTCTCTTGCTGTCTCTCTTTTCATTAAATAATAAAATCTTTTTAAAAAATAAAAAAATATTATATTGATTATGACAAGTTTCAATATTCAGACAAAACATATGCAAAGTATTCTACAACTCAGGGCAAATTTCAGTTTGTATTCCTGAATAAAAAAGAACAGAACAGCGGATGCCTGGGTGGCTCAGTCAGCTGAGCAAATGACTCTTGATTTCAGCTCAGGTCATGATCTCAGGGTGGTAAGATCGAGCCCTGCATTAGGCTCCATGTTGCATGGAACCTGCTTAAGATGTTCTCTTCTTCTGTTCCCTCTTCTGTTGCCCCTCCCTCCCAAAAAAAGAAAAAGAAAAAAAGAAAAAAAAAAAAAACAGGATAAAAAACAAGGATAACTGGTGGCCTAGACCCTTGCACTGGAGTTGGGGGTGGGAAACATTTGAAAAGACAAAGAGCAGATTTTACAGAAAGTTAAAGAATCATCCTGACATCCTCACCACCCCTCCCAGGAAGAAGCTGCCTGGGTCTTCCAGGGGTGGGGCAAAGGGAGTGGGGAAGTGCTGTTTTTGGTGGTTTGTTTGTTTGTTTTTTTAAATACAAAATACACTTTTTTTTTTTAAGATTTTATTTATTTGACAGAGAGAGATCACAAGTAGGCAGAGAGGCAGGCAGAGAGAGAGGAGGAAGCAGGCTCCCCGCTGAGCAGAGAGCCTGATGCGGGGCTCGATCCCAGGACCCTGAGATCATGACCTGAGCTGAAAGCAGAGGCTTAACCCACTGAGCCACCCAGGCACCCCAAAATACACTTTTTAAATACACTTTAACATACTTTAGTACACATATACACTTTTCAATGTTTATTGAGCTGTCAGACACACTTTCCACTAATGAAAAAATAAGGATAATCACCTAGTCTCTTTGAACAGTATGATTCAATAGCTTATTGCTAAATAGCACTTAACAATTTACAGATTTCTTTCTATCTCACCCATACCGTGTCAGGAATTATAGGCCCACTGTACTAAGAGAACAATTGAGTTCCAGTAAGGTTCAGATACTTGTTCAATATCACATCAAGAAAGTGGCACAGACTAATCTCAAGCCTAGAAAAAAACATGAGCAGAATGAACTAAGTTTTCTGTATCATGCTTACAATGGGACAAGGGATAATTACTGAAAAACCCTCTAAGGTAGATTTTGTAGACATCCAAAGAGAATTTCAGGGAGTTACTTTTCATCATGCACATGACTCAAAACTTCTGGAATGCAACGTGTCAATATTTTGAGGGTTATTTTTTCTTTCAAGATTATAAGGATGCTGGGAGAGACCTCTCAAAAGTACACTTAAAAGGTTTCAGCTAAGATAAGAAACTCCTTTACAAGAAATCTTGCTAAGAAAATTCAACTTACTTGCAAAAGCACATCTATTTTCAAAACACTAAACAATTAAGAGAAAAAAAATCCCGAAGTACAGTTTACAACAAATGATATATGCTTGTTCCACTAAACCAGTGGTTCTCAACTCTGGCTTTGTGTTAGAATGATTTGGGGAGCTTTTAAAAGTACACAGATGTCCAAGACCTACCTGAAGTATCCTGATTTTACTAGGCTGGGTAGGGAGCCCAGTCTCTGTGTGAGTGATTTTTTTTTTAATTCTCCATGTAATTGTAATGTGTAGCCAGGGTTGAGAACCACTGAACTACGTATTGGTACAATCTGTTAAACAATATCCATTAGACAGCATAACTAGGGCCAGGTTATAATGTAACCATGACAGACAAAGTTGAAATAAATAATAAAAATAATACCAACGTGGATAGGTAGTAATAACTGTAGTCTTAAAATAATCCTGTAATGAAATACTTGGTTCTCATCTCAAGAACATTTGAATTAGACAAATTTGGCAATGTTGGAAATCCAGAGACCAGTGTCTCACCACATGCTATTAACCCATCAGCCCTTCCTGCCCGGATTAGTTGCTCGTGGTTTACACACACCCTTTTGAAAGGAGTATTCAATAACCTCTTTGCTTATTCATTCTGACTCTTCTCCTAGTAGTTCATTGCTGGAAAGTCCAGAGGAGGAAGTTTAGCAATTCAAATGAGGAAATGTGGTTTAATTTTACAGTTCCGTGTCCTCAGAGCTCATGAGGAAAAAATGTAGATACTTGCATAAGTAAACCTATTAGAGAAAAGAAGAGTACCTCAATACTAAAGGTGCTGGCAAGTCATAGTTCATGTCAAATTAAAGCTGG